GAATAAGGTCAATTCTCCCATGAGACTCATTTCAAATTGATCTTTCATGATAAAGCAAAATTCATCACACATGTTAGGGTCAGTGCTTCCAAACACAATGTCGTCTACATAAACCTAAACTATTAAAGTGTGATTGTTTTTCCTTTTGATGAAAAGAGTTTTGTCTAGTCCCCCTTGACTGAATCCTTGAGATATTAAAAACGAGGTTAACTTTTTGTACCAAGCTCTGGGAGCTTGTTTGAGACTATAGAGGGCTTTGGAAAGCTTAAAGCCATGGTCAGGGAATTCAAAATCAATAAAGCCAGGAGGCTGCTCAACATAAACATCTTCCTTAATTTCACCATTCAAGAAAGCGCTTTTTACATCCATTTGATAGAGTTTAAAGTTCATTAGACTGGCATAAGCACATAGAAGTCTGATTGATTCTATCCTAGCAACAGGAGCAAAGGTTTCATCATAATCAATTCCTTCCTCTTGATTATACCCTTGTGCAACAAGCCTAGCTTTGTTCTTAATGATAAACCCTAATTCATCAGATTTATTCCTGAATATCCACTTGGATCCAATAACAGTTATGTTAACAGGTCTAGGAACAAGTTCCCAGACCTTTAATCTAAAAAAGTGAGACAATTCTTCTTGCATAGCAAGTAACCACTCTTCATCAAGCAAAGCTTCCTTATAGTTTTTAGGTTCAAGTAATGACACAAAGGCATATTGCCCTGGGATGTACTTACCTCTGGTCTGGATAGGATCTGACATGTTACCTATAATTTGTGATGGAGGATGCCTCCTTCTGATGTGAGCGGGTGCTTCAGGTTCTTCAGGGGAGTCATTCTCGTTTGGAGCAGCTTGAGGAGCAGGAATGACTTCAGCAGAGTCATTAGTATTGGAGGATTTGCCTGTCTCAAAAAGAGGACTAATAGGAAGAAAGTCATAGTACTTATATCAGAGTGCAAGGGCAGGGGTAAATCAGATGAGTCGAATTTAATGTGAACAGACTCCTCAACTTTTCTATACCTTCTATTATAAACTCTATATGCTTGTCCTTTACTGGAGTATCCTAGGAAAGTAGCTATGTCAGATTTGGCATCAAATTTTCCAATTTGATCCTTAGTGTTAAGAATGTAGCATTTATAGACAAAAGGATGAAAGTAGGAAAGCTTAGGTAATTTTCCTTTCAATATTTCATAGGGAGTTTTATTCATTATTTTCCTAATGGTAGTGCGATTCATAACATAACATGCAGTGTTTACAGCCTCTGCCCAGAGGAACATAGGACAGTCAAATTCAAGAAGCATAGTTCTTGCTGATTCAATTAGTGATCTATTCTTTCTCTCCACAACTCCGTTCTGTTGTGGAGTTCTAGGAGCAGAAAAGGTGTGTAGAATACCATAATGCTCACAGAACATGGTTCAAAAAGGCACGCTTAATCTTACGCCTAGGCATGCCTAGGCGCAAGGCAATGACAAAACGCCTTGCCTTGGGGTTTCGCGCTTATTTAGATATTGGAACACGTCAATGGAGTTAGGCGACATATAAGTCTTTCCTAAACACAACTTGATGAAGCTAGGAAGTCAATATTAAAGGAGAAAATTAACATCAACTACGAAATCATTTTTTTATATCAATATTTTCAATAGTTCAAGAAATTTGTGAGCTATTGAGCTATGATTCTATGAATTCTTGAGCTATGTTCTTGACATTAAGTGTTAAGTAAGTTATTAATCATTTTAACTGAAGTGAGAAAGTATTGTAAATTATTATTTCATTCATCATGCAGTGTGAATAGCTTTTTTTCTTCGAACGCCTAAGCACGCTTAATCTACGCCTAGGCGAGCTAGGCGCTAGGCAAAGGCTCAACGCCCGCCTTACGCCTAGCGCCTTTTTGAACCTTGTCACATAAAGAACAAAAATTATCATTTATGAATTCACCACCATTGTCACTTCTAATGCCTTTAATGGTGCAGTCAAATTGATTTTTCATAAGGAGAACAAAGGATTTAAACTTAGAGAAAGCTTCATCTTTGGAGGAAAGGAAGTAAACCCAGGTAAATCTGGAGAAGTCATCAACAATAACCAGTGCATATGATTTTCCACCTAGACTTTGGACATTTGTAGGTCCAAACAAATCCATATGCATTAGATCAAACACAGCAGAAGTGGTCACGTCCTGTTTACTTTTAAATGACTTTTTACAATGTTTTCCAAGGATGCAGGCTTCACAAGAAAAATTATCTGGAATATTAATCTTAGGCAAGCCTCTCACGAGATTGAGTTTAGACAGTTTATTTAGACGAGAAAAACTCATGTGACCCAGCTTTCTGTGCCACATGACAGCTGACTGAGTCATAGTACTTAGACAAATTTCTTCAGATAGATCAAGAGATGACAAATCTATAGTATACACGTTGTTTATTTTCTTTCCTTTGAATATCACAGCATTGTCTGAGATTCTTTCTATGATGCAGCAAAAAGGATCAAAGATAACTCGATAAGTCGACCCACAAATTTGACTTATTGAGAGCAGATTATGTTTTAACCCATCTACATAAAGTACATCTTCAATGACTAGAGAAGTATTGCTGCAGATTGTACCTTTACCAACTGCTGATGCACAATTATTGTTGCCATAGTAAACCTTACCTCCCCTTTTAGGATTAAGAAAAGAAAAAAGAGCTTTATTACCCGTCATGTGGTGAGAGCATCCAGAATCTAAATACCAGATGTTTGCACCATTATTATTCTGAAAGAAAAAGTAATTTTAATTAGAAGTTTTAACTACCCAAACAAGTTTGGGTTTCTGTCTTCTGGAAAAGCAATGATCAAAGTCGAGGAAGGTTCCTGATGCTAGATGTCTTTCTATGTCTATGAGAATAGGTTTGGTGATCACTCCAAACAGAATGATAAGAGGTGGAAGGAATCCAAGTGGTCATAGGCATAGTTCTTTTGCATTTTCCTAATTGTCTTTTGAGAGTTTTGTTCTCATCAGTTAGATTGGCAATTTAAGTGTCCTGAGTAATCTGAGCAGCTTGTTGGATATCTATGAGACTTTTTAGTTTTTTTATTTCAGTATCTTTGTCATTCAACTGTGTTACAGTAAGGTAGTATTTACTTCTTAATCTGTTGCATTCATCTTGCAGATTAGATAGTGCATGAAGAAAAAAATCTTCATTATGAGTTTCAGAGGTAAATTCAGAGGAAGACTCAGACCAAACCTGGTCATTGGTGTTGTCATCTTCATTGATCGAGTTCAGTCCCAAGAGTGCTATGTTCTCATTTTCCTCTTCCGAGCTGTAGTCACTCCAGGAAGCCACCATAGCCTTTTCTTTCTTTCTGCTTAGGGGACAGTTGGCTCTTATGTGACTTGTCTTACCACATTTAAAGCAAATGGTAGAGTCAGTTTTGTATTCAGCAGAGCTTTTCATTTCTTTAGGACTGTTATCATGTCTGTTTGATCCAAATGATTTTTTGTCATTTGAATTCACAGAATGATGTCCATAGGTTCTAGAGGAATGGTTAGTCATGTTTGCAGAAGGTCTAAAGGAGTAGCCATTGTTTTGACTTCCTCTTTTTACATTATGTTCATGTTTGTATTTCATCATTCTTTGGAGTTTCTTGCTGGTAAGAGCAAGTTCATTTTCGAACTCCTCATCCAGTTTCTCCCCTTCATAACTACACACAGAAGTGAATGCTATAGTTTTGTTCTTTTTGTCATGAAGAGAGTTCATTTGTTTTAAAACTTCCTCATAACTAAGAAGGGATCCAATCAAGTTTTCTAAAGACAGAGTGTTCAGATCTTTAGCTTCCTCTATGGCTGTTCTTTTAGCCATCCATTCAAGAGTAAGAGATCTGAGGACTTTTCTAACAAGTTCTTTGCTAGAGAAGGTTTTTCCAAGTCCTTTGAGACGATTAACTAAGGTGGAGAATCTTTTATCCATTTCATATATTGATTCTCCTGATAGCATTTCAAAGGTTTCATATTCTTTAAGAAGAAGATCAATTCTAGTTTCTTTCACTTCCGAAGTGCCTTCATGAGTTGTTTCTAGGATTTGCCAAATTTCTTTGGCTGTTTCACATTTGTTAACTCTTTCACCTTCATCATCTGATATTGCAGACAATAAGATGTGCATAGCCCTAGAGTCTAATTGAGCACTTTTCTTTTGTTCATTTGACCAATCCTCCTCATCATCTTCTTTCATGTCAATTGGTCCATTGCGGACAATTGCCCATAATTCACAGTCGATTCCTCGGAGGTACAGTCTCATTCTTTTCTTCCATACAGAATAGTTAGAACCAGAAAACCAAGGAGGGTTTGAACTTGTAGGAAATGAGTTAGAAGACATGGTAAGGCACAGGATCTCCTTCTCTGCAACTTAGAGTTCCACGAAAAGGGGGCTCTGATACCAATTGTTAAATACCACTGTCTTATCCCATTCCTTAAACTGGGGACGATAAAAATAATCCGAAAGAAGAAGCAGATGAACTTGTTCAACTAGTCTAGATGATTCACAAACACCACGAGTTCAACAAGGATGAAAACTAAATAAAAGAAAAGTGAAGCAGACAACCAAGCAATGAGCTACGCCCAGATTGCGTAGAGTTCCTGGCTAAAGCCCCAACTCTACGAATCCAGACACAAAACCTACGAACCCAATCCAACTATCCCAAGAACTAATCAGTTCTTCATGAGAGTGGAAACCGTTGCCTCCTTTCTTCAACCTCGTGATATTTATAAAGATCTTCAGCAAGCATTCGCGATCTCTTTCTCTCTCTTCTTCAATATGAAGACCGTTAGCCAGAGTCTTTGGGGGAATTGATTTTGATGACGATTGTCTGGGAAGTTGATGCTTCTGGCAGCTTTGATAGCTAGGTATTTTGGGAATGAAGGCGAAGACGCTTTAGCAATCTCGACGATGGCCAATGGGCTCTTTGGGCTCAACTTGAGAGGGCTTTGATCAGTTTTGTCGAGATGCCAGTGGGCCAGGGCCCAACATTGCTTGCTACCTTCTTCCCCAAATCAAAAAGCTTCTCGATCCCCTCTCTGAACTTCCCTCGCCGAATATCCAAGCTCCAATCCCTACGATCAACACCCCTTTCCTTCCTCGTCGACAAATTCCTCCTCTTCTCCATACCGCCTTCTCTTCTTTTGGAACTTTAACAAGATTCATTGATAATTCCCCAAAAACTTATGTAACTCATCCTGTGATTGAATTGCGACTTCGTTCAACGGCCGCCGACCAATATCCTCCTCCAGTTCAAGATCATCCTGATCAACGCCGGGTCCTATCACACGAATCGTGTGACCTAAGTCTATACTCTATAGACGTCTTCGAGTTCGAGAGACTGCCGGAGGAGCAAACCCCTAACTCTAAGTTCCAACCGGTCTCTCTCCGACGAGTTGGTCCCCGGAGGAAGGAGGCTTTGAAACGTCGATCTGGTAAGTTATCCATTTCCTTCACTCGTCGGTTTTGGCTTATTCGATTCACTTTAGAAGATGAGTAGTTCTTGTAAAAATTGATATCTTGAACTGTCGAAGCACGATTGAAGTCCAGATTTTTCTATTCTACCACATTTCCTCTTAACTGTGTCTGTTCATTAGTTCGTTAATTTGAATAACTATTTCTGGGATGGTCGCAGCACGAGTGAAGTCCAGATTTTTCTTTTAAATGAGTTCTGCAACTGAAGCTTGCATTTTCGTAGAGTATTTCATATGCGTCTGCAGTAAAGATTGATCGTGCGAAATTCAGTTTTTTTTTCTTTTCAATGCATTACTGGTTTATTGGATTACGGGTATCATCTGTTAAACGGATGCTTAATACCTTGGCTGATTCATTCCTTTTGGAATGTTTGGGCGTAATGATGCTGCCAGCCCATTATTATTATCATCTACCCACAGGGCAGAGTATAGTTTTTATATGTTGCCTTGGATGACCTGCTTCTTTAATCCTGTTTTTACTGATCTTGAAATTGGGTCAACTGATGTTTCAGTGTGACTTTGATGTTCCAGCTGGTTTGATTTCTTGAGGCATGCTGAAGTCTATCTCTTCAAAGTTGTTGGTTCTCTTCTGTATGCTGCTTTACCTTCACTTCAGTTAATCATGAGAAGAGGGTCATCAGGAAACACAATGATTAGGCGCTCCTACCCTCACCAATCTTTTGTAGTCAGATGTGCAATAGCCTCCAGGATTCTCCTCTTGGTCCTGATTCTCCTATGGCGCAATCTTGTATCTTCTTATGACACCTCTTCACCTCTCAACCCTGAGTGTCTATCCTCAAACTCTGAGTCTCATCAAGAAGGGAATGTTCTACTGCCCCGTCTCGGTTCTGCAGTCGAGGATAGTGTTGTGTGGGATGGCGTCTATTTCGTTCGAATTGCACAATGTGGCTATGAGTATGAGCAGTCCTACGCCTTCTTGCCTCTCCTTCCTGTTCTAATGTCCATTTTATCCCGTACAAGTTAGTAATGACAGTTGAAGCCTTTGTCTCTGGTTTTGCTAGATTCACGTATTCTCTTACTCACAAGTTTGGTTTTCTTGTGCAGTTTTTGCACCCTTGGTTCCACTTATCGGTTTTAGGGCTGTTCTGTCACTTGCTGGATATGCTGTGAACAATGTTGCTTTTGTTTTTGCAGCCGTTTATCTGTACCGGTATGATATCATGATTTATTTGATCACTGCTCAGCTATATTCTTCATTACTTGACATAAATGCTGAGTGTTTTCCCCCATTTTTCCTTGTCAGGCTTTCAGTTCTGATTCTGGACAACACTCAAGTGGCACTAACAGCTTCAGTTTTATTTTGTTTCAACCCGGCATCTATTTTTTATTCATCAATGTAAATACCTCTCTGGGCATTAGTTTATTCATTTAATCTAATAATGAGGCTCCCGATTATATCAAACTGATGATTTTCTTGTTTATTGCAGATACACTGAGAGCTTGTACTCCCTGTCATCACTCGGAGGGTTGTACCATTTGATATCTGGTGCCACTAATATCTCTGTTCTTTGGTTTGCACTCTCTGCTTGTGCGAGATCTAATGGAGTGCTTAATGCCGGTTATTTCTGTATTCAGACTATGCATCGAGTTTATGATGTTGTATTCCTGCAAAAACGTACTTGTGTGAGTCTTCTTTCTTCCTATTGCATGTTTGAAAACATAATGATACATTGTTAACTTCTTGTCAAAATTGTAGTCTGCAGTGCAAGTTATTGTAGTTGGAGTGCTACGCTGTTTCTGCACATTTGCACCCTTTATCGCCTTTCAAGCATATGGCTATCTCAATCTGTGTCTTGGACTTCCCCTGGATGAAATGAGGCCGTGGTGCAAAGCCAAAATACCATTGTTGTACAATTATATTCAAGGTCGATATTGGTATGTACTACTTAAAAACTTTAGCAAACATTTTCAATGACCTCCGTCAATCATGATTTCCTCGAGACTAAATTCTGCAAGGCTCGTGATATCATATCGCTGTCATGTTCATGTCCTTTCTTTTCTTTGGAATGCAGGGGAGTAGGGTTCTTGACATACTTTCAATTCAAGCAACTGCCGAATTTTCTCCTTGCTTCCCCTATTTTATCTCTATCACTTTGCTCTATTATCCATTATATGAGGTCACAACCTCGGATGTTTTTCTCGTTGGGTTTCCTGTCGCCTGATGGACAGACAAGGGCTAGACATGCCAGTGATTCCTCAACGATAAGCTCCTACAAAACCCAAGGTACCTAATAATCCAAAATTAGCAAAAGAATTCTATGGCCAAAGCATGGTGAACTCCAGGGTTCTGTTTTTTTTCTTTCTTTTCATGTGTACAGACAAGGTAGGTGCTAGCCACAGGAAGAAGCATATGACTGAAGAAGACAATGACCACATTGCCTCTGTAGAAAGCAACGAAGCCCTAGATAAGGGAAGGCGCATATCTGCCTTCGTTGTTCCATGTACTCTGCACTTGGCATTCATGGCAGCCACTGCGTTTTTTGTCATGCATGTCCAGGTTCAAGACATTTGTATTATGTTTTTTCTTTTGTCGGAATGATCATGTTTTTTTTTGTCAAACCATATATTGCAATGTCAATAATCACGATGATGCTTCAACCTTGTGAAAAAACATGTGCAGGTCGCTACGCGTTTCTTGTCATCGAGCCCTCCGCTGTACTGGTTTGCATCGTCAAAGATGCTGGCAGGAAAGAAGTGGGGGAAGTTGGTACAGGGATATTGCATTGCCTACATCCTCCTTGGTAGCTTGCTGTTCTCAAACTTCTACCCTTTCACCTGAAGAAAAATTGCAGAGCAGCACAAGAAAGCCCGAACAGCAGACGGATCTTTTAGAGCTCAAGATGTACAATTGACAAAGTAGGGAAGTCTTTTTTTGTTATAAGTTATAACTTGCAATCAAAATTTGATCTACAATTCTGGTTACAAATGTAGATGTGATCGTTATAATTTACAAACTCTCCAATTGTAATATTATATGCTGTCTTGTTATTTGATTGATGCCGAATGAGTAATGACCAATGCATGGTTTAAAAAAATCAATTCAGATATTGGAATGATTTAGTATAAAACATCATAAGGCTAATTTCAGAAAATTCAACTCATTCAAAAAGTGTTATTAAAAAAGTGTTATTAGTGTCCTAAACTATTTAATATATGATATTTCTGGCCTAAACTATTTCTGTTAGTGTTGACTGTTAGTGGTCAATTATCAACGAGTTGACCGTTGATGTGTCAGTTGAGTTGAATTATTTTCAAATTAAATAAAAAATAAAATATTAATATTAAATTTATTGTTTTTTACTTTACGAACTTAAAATTAAATATAGATTTGGGTGCACCAGATCTCGTTCCTCAAGCTTCTCCGTGCACCTCCTCCGACTCCTCTCCTCCATCCTTGCAAAAGATATCCAGTTCGGGCCCCTCAGCACGGGCGGAGCTACTTGGGAAGTAGGGTGGGCCTCGGCCCCCCTTGGATTAGTCCGGGCCCCTAGAACCTTAAGGATATTTAGATAAAATTTGAATAAGTAGAACTCGGCCAGAACATTAGTTTATACAATTATGTAGTAGTCTACTGCTAGCTAATCTAATTTTTAGTGTGGAGCACCCAGGTTCAATTAACCACACCTCACATTTTGCTTTGTTTTGAGTGATTTCAATGATTTTTAGACTATATTGAAAGAAAGGTAGCAAGACATTTAGTTGAGATGCTATTTTGAGTTATTTTTAATGATTTCAAAGAACGTTGTATACTTTTAAATAATTATTTTATTTTTATTTACATTTAATTATTTTCCGCCCACCAGGTGTAGAAATCCTGGCTCCGCCCCTGCCCCTCAGCCTCTTGATCAGCGGGGCGGCAAGGGTCGGTACTGAATCGATGATAGTCCCCATGAGACGAGAACGGCGGCTTCACAAAAGAAGAGAACGGCGGTGGAGGTGGTGCTCTGCTGATGGTCCGGCTGTGGTGGCAGTGGCGTCGTCGCTCCAGGACCAGTAGGAGGCTCGGAAGTCGACATTTGTGGTCCTCGAAGACGGGAAGAAGACCAGGTTGTGGCCACGCCGGTGGAGCTGCAGGTTCTGGTAGCGCTGAAACCCTTTGTTGCATATCTCGCACATGAATCGGTTCGTCACCATCAACGCCTTCGACGATAGTGCGATTACTTCCGCTTCTGGATCTGAAATCGCAGAGAAGATAAGTGGTTAATATCGAGAGAGATTGAAGTGATTTGATTGGAAAATTTTCAATTTCCGGGTTCCAATTCCGACCTGGCATTTCGAGGAGATTCCGTTTCTTCTTCGTCGGTGGTGCCGACGGAGACGCGAGGTTGCCGAACGAGCACGCGCTGTTTGCTTCGCCAGAAACTATCATTTGAGAGGAGTTCTCAACCTCCGCCATCGATTCACCAACAATTCAGTACTGAGTTTCCAATGAATTCTAAGCGAGAAAAGTTGGAGGGAAAATATCTGCTGTTGGAAGAGATTTGGGGAAATTGTTCAGTTGGCGATGGCGGAAACTGGAATGGGGGGAATTGGAGTTGGAATTGGATGGAGTCGTGGAGACATGGCCGGTTTGGGTAACGGGTATTTGTTCAGCAGACTCCTCATATCGATGGCGCCACCACCAGATCCTCAAAAACCCTTCAGCTTGCTACGTACATGTCAGCCAGTGGGAGAAGAAAGGAAGGAGCGATGGTGTCGTTCAAGCTCAAAGCGGCTCGCCGGCAGTGTGCTTGGACGCTTCCGCCGGAGGAGAGGAGGAAGCAATGCAGGGTGGAAGTCGGAGTAGAGCGGCGAGCCGGCGACCTGGAATTGGTTTTCCCCCCTAATTTTTATTATTTTATTTTTTAAATCAATGTAATTTTGAATTAAGAAACTATAATATGATGTGTTAATGACGTGACATCCACATGGTAGTAGGGCTGGCAAATTGATTGCCGGTTAGCGGTTAGCCGCCGGTTATAACCGAAAACTGGCAAAAAGCAATCTCGGTCGGTGTTCGGATGCCCATAAGAGGGATCTGGCTAGCCGAATAACCGGGAATGATTAACCGCGGCTAACCGGATAACCGACCCTCACCGAAAATCCCATTCTCCCCATCCCAAAATCGCAGAAAACCCTTCACCCCCAAATCAAATAACCTAATTCGAAGACCCTCCCCCATCTCCCCGATCTCGCACCGCGCCATGCCGCGCCTCACCTCCGACCACCACCCCTAAATATGAGTTCAGCAGCGGCGGCGAGCAAAGCCTGGATGGTGGCGGCCAGCATAGGGGCGGTGGAGGCGCTCAAATACCAAGGGGTGTGCCGGTGGAATCACATCATGAGATCAATCCACCACCACACCAACTCCAAACTCAGATCCCTCGTCTCTCATCGGTGGAGCTGCGAGGAAAACAGAGGCCTCGTTTGACAGAGTGATGGGAAGATGGAGGGAGTCCTTGATCCTCTGGATGGTGCACGACAGTAGGTTGTTCACCGTATCCACCGAATCCGCCGCCAGCTTCCCCACCGGCAAGTTGTTCACCATATCTGGAATCCAATCGTCACAACGCACCCGCTCATCACCACTCCCTCATCCCACCCGGCAGCGGCCTATCCTTCCTCGCCGCCAACATCATTCTGCACCACCCCGCCGTGGCTGTCGGGCAGAACGACAAACCCCAACAGCAGCAGCGCCACGAACCTCCCTTCCCTGCCGTTAAGATTAATGGCAGTTGTGAGGGTAGAGAAATAGATCTCATGAATGGAGAGGGAGGAGGAATGATTTTTTGGGGAAAGGAAAAGGTAGAAGGAGATGGGAACAGGGGAAGGATCGAGGAAAGGGTAGAAGGAGATGGGAACACGGGAGGAGGAATGATTTGTTGCGGTTACCACGGTTAAACCGCCATGAACCTAAAATCGGCCGGTCGGTGGTCGTCTAATCATGACCAAGGTTTTAAAAGGCGCTAAGCGTAAGGCAGGCGCTCTGCTCCTGACTTGCGCCTTGCCTGATTAGGCGTAGCCTAGGCGCGCCTAAGCGTTCAGAGCATAAATGGAAAAAGTTCTCAAATATTCCCTGTTTTCTGGAATAATTCATATAATCCAAGTGCATATAAAATTAGCAATGTCTAGTTCTTAACAGTAAACACTTAACATAACAAATAACAAGCAAATAGTGACCACTTCCTAGAATCACAAGTTCATAAAATGTCGAAATACTAAACAATAGTCAATAAGTTCATAGGAAAATGTTCATTCTTCATCATCCAAGTAGGTCTGTCCAGCCACCACTTCATCTTCATCATCCTCAAAAGCAATCTCCTCACCATCCTCTTCCTCTTCAGTAATTCTTCATATGGATCTCTCTCACTCGTTCACTCCTGCGAAGCTCACTCTGTTCACCCGCCATTGCATCTGTAACAGTACTCGAGGGTGCACAATATGATTCCTCATCCTCATCTACGAATACATACATAGCATGGTCATCCCCTTCCCGTGTTTCTGATTTTCTAGGGCAAGAGGCAATTTTCTGATTTTCTAGGACAAAACAAAGAGTATAGGGTTTAACCGCCTAAGTTCGCCCAGGAACGCCCAGGCACGCCTTCTCTCCACTAGGCGCAAACTAAGCGCTATTCCTACCTACTAAGCGCTACCAGCGCTTTTACAACGCCTATGGCCAAGTCAAGGCGATCCTCCACCGCCTAGCGCCTAATTGAGCCTAGGCACGCCTTCTTGAACCCTGACCGTGACTCCTTTCATGGTCGGTCGTCGGCAGACATAGGAGACGGCTCGGTTTAACCAATAACCGAGAAATCGGTTTTCGATTAAACCAAAACCGACCGACTGTCACCCCTACATGGTAGTCACATTTTTTGCCACTTTATCAAAAGTCCACATTTTGTTGACTACCGTTTGGTCAACCGTTATCTCTACGGTCAATAAAAGCGTTGGGATACAATGGGTCTTATTTGTCATATTGAATAGTTTAGCACAAATGACACTTTTTGTATAGTTTGGGCTTCCTAGTTGAATTAGCTCAACTTCATAGTCCAAACACGCTCGAATCTTTGACGTACCAATGCAAAGAAACACCTCTCTTCGAGGACACATGGACCTCCAAAATTTTTAGAAGCAACCCAATTGGCTAAGGTGGGTAATTATCATATATGGTCACAAACCTATTCATTTTGTATAAAACGGTCACAATCCTTTAATTTTGCACGTTTCAGTAACACAAGTTTGAGCGAATAACGAAGTGGTCAACCAGTCCAATTCCGTCCAAAACTCTGCTACCTGTTGCACAGTCAGCATGACACATCATTAAAAATATTAACTAAGAAATCAATTAATCACCCACGTAACCCGAACAACCCAACCGGTCGTAAACAAGCTCCTTACCTCGCATTTTAATTAGAACAAGGAGAGAAATAAGCTCGAAGAAAGTGAGAGGAGAGGTTATCAATATGCTCGACTGAAAGGAGAGGGGGAGACCTTTTCCCGAATTGGAGAAAGCTAGCAACCCTTCTTCTTTCAAGCTCGTCAATCTTGAGAAATGCAGCACCATGTTGTCCATCTTGGCAATCAAATCGTGCATGATCTTCAACTCCATCGTGGTCAACAACCACTGGCAAAACCTTTGCCCGCTGGCGTAGAACTTGAACACGTTCTGGCCTTCTTTCAATAACAACGACGAATCCTCCCCTTCCCCAACACCCAATAGGCTGAAATTGTTCTCGAAAATGGAATCCTTGGTAGCAAACTTGGCCGCCCACGCCTAGGGAATGTTCTCGTTCTCTCGCTTCCCAGTGAGCAACAAGAGGACGATTGCGATTTCAAGCCCCAATTACAGACATGCTAGTGAATAAGTACAAGGTATTCAACGGGAAAAAAATAAAAGGTTTGAAATATGAGATGATAAAGGTAAAGCCAGCTCGGTCTTTTTAACTCTTGCCTTGTTGCAACTATTTCCTCCTACCAATAAGAACCATTAGTATTGTGATCATTTCTTTGCTTTATCTCTATGGTAGCTCCTTTTTTTTTCAATTCCTGAATTATGAGTATAATTTGACTGTTATAATTTAGTAGAAACTCTGCTTTCTGTTGCTTGCTTTATAATCGACTAAACACATGAATTTCACAACCCATTGTGAGTGAGATGAGACCACCTTCCTCTGGTTTTCACTTAATTAGCAAACCTATCATACTTGTTCAATTGCTTGTATATAGGTTTAGCAATATTTGTTGGTTCTACTTTCACGAGCATATATGGAAACTTGATTTGGATGTATATGCTCAAAGAGGGGGGGGGGGGGAATCCTAAAATACACACGTTTTTAAAAAAAAATTCCAAAATACACACGTTATAAAAAAATTTCCCAAAATTCCCATGTTTGGGCATCACCGCTGTTGTCAACCGTAGTGAATGCATTCACCGTGGCAGACCAAAGCGATGAATGCATCACCGCGGTTGACGGCCGCGGTGAATGCCTGACGTAACACTGGAACTTCAAACAAACGTAACTTTGCGCTCGGTTAACCGATTGTAGCGAATTTTTTTTATTCCACATAACTTTTTAAGATTTTTCAATCTGAAAGAAGCCTTCATCCCAAAAAAATTCGTTTGCTACCCTGAACGAGCAATTTTTCGATTTTGACAAACTTTGAAAGACCATAACTTTGTGCTCCACAATCCGAATGTCATGAATTTTTTTTTATTTCGCATAACTTTTGAAGGACTACAACTTTGATTATGACCCTAATTTTGGAAAGTATGTGGATTTGTGAAAAGTAAAGGCAAAGTTATTGCCAAAATCGTATACCCAAAAATATTTCTTTTTTAAAAAATTCTTTCCTAGTAAAAGTTGTAGTTCTTAAAAATTTATGCGCAATTTAAAAAACTTTACGACGTTCGGATTGAGGAGCTAAAAGTTATAGCCTTCCAAAGTTTGGCAAAATCGGAAAATTTCTCGCTCGGGGTAACAAACGACATTTTTTTAGATGAAGTCTTGTTACAGATTGAAATATCTTGAAAAGTTATATGGAATAAATTTCTTTCGCTACAATCGGATAACCGAGCGCAAAGTTACGTTTGTTTGAAGTTTCAGTGTTACGTCAGGCATTCACCCCGCCCGTCAACCTCGGTGATGCATTCACCGCTTTGGTCTGCCGTGGTGAATGCAATCATTGCGGTTGACAACAGCGGTGATGCCCAAACATGTGTATTTTGGGAATATTTTTTTTATAACGTGTGTATTTTGGGATTTTTTTAAAAAAACATATGTATTTTGGGATTTCATTTCTCAAAGAGGGGTTGTCCAACTTATATTCCAAATAATATGTTCATTGGAACCTCTACTTTCTTTTCAATCCTCAATTATGAGTGCAATTTCAGTGATATAATCAAGTAGAACTCTGTTTTCAATTTCATGAAGCCCCAGCTGCTAGATGTAGACTCGTTAGATTATTTTAATTTCCTGAAGCCTCTGCTACCAGCTTTAGAATAATCTGGTTTTAGCTTGTTTAGTCATTTATTATTTCGGTTGAACAGTTATTTGACTTTAAGTTTTCAAAATGTACCCTTACAGGTTGGTGGGTCTTCTTTAGCCCCTGCTGGAGCATCATAGGTTGCTGCAACTGAAGTTCAGGGCACTCCAGTCTCAGCTTCCCAACCTCTTGTTTCTGCATCCCAGCCTCCGGAAGCAGAAAATGCTGCGAAAGCAAGTAACTCTCAGGATCTCAAAAAAACTTCTAAAGCATGGGATCACTTTACTATGGTGTCTGAGACATTTGGAACTGATCGTCCTAAGGTTGCATGTAATTACTGCAAAAAAAAAAAGTATTTGGCTAGCCCTAGAGCACATGGAACTAGCAATATTTTGAATCACGTCAATTTGAAAAAGTGCAAAGAATATGTGAAGCTACTGAATTCTAAAAATCAGAAGCAAAGTATGATTGTCATTGACAAATCTCAGCAAAATGTGGGTGATGGCCCTCGACTTGCATCCTTTAATACTTCTGAAGCTATAGGAAAGCACTAGCCAAAAAGATTGTGATTGATGAAATACCTTTTCGAACCGTAGATGCTTAAGGTTTTCGAAAATATAGCATGACTTTGCAGCCTAAATTCTTGTTGCCTTCTAGAAGAACTCTGCAAAGAGATTTTTTTAAAGTTATATAAGGAAGAAAAGGCAAAATTGAAATCTATGTTGCATTCTCAACGTGTTTGTCTTACCACTGATACTTGGACTTCAGTGCAAAATCTCAATTATATGTGTTTGACATCACATTGGATTTACTATCAGTGGAAGTTGCATAAGAGGGTTCTCAGTTTTCCAACAATAGCTAGTCATAAAGGGGAGACAATAAGTCTATCTATCATGAATTGTTTGAAAGATTGGGAAATAGAGAAGATCTTCACTGTGACTGTAGATAATGCTAGTACCAATGATGGTGCCATTAAGCATATAATTCAAAGAACTAAAGACACACTAGGAAAGGTCTTGCATCATGAATACATTCATATGAGATGCTGTGCACACATTCTTAATCTTGTTGTTCAAGACGGTTTGAAAGAGGTGGATGATGCTATCATAAAGATTAGGAATGTTGTTAGATATGTCAGGAGCTCTCATGCTAGAATGCAGAGCTTTTTGAAGTGTGTTGATGAGGAAAAGATCAATTCCACAAATTGTGTATGCTTGGATGTCGAAACTAGGTGGAATTCGACTTATCATATGTTGGATGTGGCTGAAAAATATGAGAAGGCATTTAATAAGTTGGACTGTGAAGATTCTCGTTATTCTTTATACTTTTCTGGTGCGGATGAAGAATTGGTAGAACAATCTGATATCATTAGTAGACAGAATGAGGTATTCGCCAGCACAAGAGGAAAAAGACGAAAGAGACAGAAATTGATGGGGTCCTCCAAAATGTGAAGATTGGAAAAAAGCAAGGTGTTTGTTTGAGTTTTTGAGGTTATTCTATATATGCCTTCTATCTTAAGGAAAATTTGGATTATACTCCTGCACAAGATGCTGGAATTTTTCCAGCGTCTACTTTTTATGAAGATTTGGCGAAGGTTGATCCAGCCAAAGCTCTAAGGTTGAAATTTGCAAAGGTAACTGCGTCTCCTATTATTTCTGGTGGGAAATCTGAAGCTCAGCGGTACCTGACAGATGTTGCAGAGCCTGAAATGGAAGACTTCGACATTCTTATGTGGTGGAAAGTTTACTCAACCAAGTATCCGATTATTGCAAAAATGGCGAGAGATGTGTTGGCTGTTCCGATATCAACAGTGGCCTCAAAATCTACCTTTAGCACTAGTGGTCGTGTTTTGGATCCTTATCGGAGTTCATTGAGTCCTACTGCAAGGCTTTGATATGCTGCCAAGATTGGTTAAGAGCAACGCTGAAAGGTATTGAACTTGAGAATGATGATTTTAGTAAGCTATTTCTATTTTATTTCTTTTTTGCCAGCCAACCAACCTTACTTAATTAATAATGTTTTTCGTTACGCATTCTACTCAATTTCAGAATCTTTGGAAGTTGCTGCCATAGAATCTGGAGATGTGAATGCTGGAAAATGAATGACTCCAGTATGATTCACAATGTAAGAGTTGTTCAAATAGTGACCTAAGTCAAGAATAAATTTATGTTTGAATTTAAAATGTGTATTATTCGTTGTTACAGGTAGAACTATGCAATGGGTTTGGTGATTTCGCGGTGATCGATTCTGAACTGGACAACATGTCATTGGTGTTGCTAACTTCGTTTTGGTTTTTAGATTCTATCGTTGGAACATAAATCTCTTACAACCCTTTGGTTGTGTTGGACTAGTTTCTTGTTTTTCACATTCAGTTACATTCTTGGATTCTGGTTTGGTACTGGATTGTTCTTTTTTGGATACTCGCTGTTACATTTGTTATTTAGGTTTGAGATGCTTGTAGAACAACTATCTTTGTTATTTTATTGCTGTTGTTTCTTCTATTTTGGTACTATATTGTTCCTGTTTTTGTAAGGTCTATGAGTGGCCAATTTTTTAGAAGAACTTGTGAATCTGTAGACGAGAGGTTCGGGGTTGTTTTTAGTAGAAGCATGAGCATGGTATCAGCTCCAAAATGCTCATTATGTCCTTGTTCCTAATCCTTATCATGATGCCGAAGGCGGCAAGTGTATGTCAATTTCTACATACATAAATTTACATGTCTTTACTCTTTATTTGAGGTTGTTGTTATGTTTTGATGTAGTCGCCAATTTCTTTAAAGTAGCTGACTTATAATCTCATCGAGATGGTGCTTGTGTCCATATTTCCAGAGGAGAATTTGCGAATTCACTAACAACTTATGTTCACAGATTATTGGTGAGATTAGAACACAGTCTGATGACCTTTATATGGACTTGAAATACTGGATGATCTGATCTCTTGAATAACTCTTGTTGTTTCAGATTTATGCAGCTGCAGACCTCTAGTAAGAAAGAAGGTAGTCTGATTGTTTGATGTGGCTTTATAGGGAAAATCCTGATGTTGTGAGTAGCATGACTGGTACATTTGAATTGTATATGATTTATCTCAATAGTGATTTGTTGGAGAGCTGCGAATTTGATTTAACTTACTGTAAAATCACCAGGGCTGCTCGGATGGCACGACTCCTTGATGAATGTGATTTTGGTGTTCTTACATCCTCAATGAGGCTACAAATACATGAAGAATGCTTGGATGTGATGGTGACATGTCTGCAAGATATGCTGAAAAGACAACCAAGAGACCTTAGAAAGTTGTTCTACTGTGTTCTTCCAATACTATGCACGTAAAGACAGCCAAGAGATTTTAGTAAGGAATCTTGAAATCTACTACCCATAAATGTATTAGCATCATATACCTTCGGTGTACCTTATTATAGCAAATTGGCAAATGTATAAGCCAAAAAGACTTGTTAAGAAATGTGAATCTTTCCCCTTGTACAAGTTGGCAGTAGGGTGGTACATTATAAATTTTGTTGGTCATTGAAAAGAAACATGTTTGCATTTTGTTTAGCTTGGTGTGTGAGTGAATTCGCAGATTCAACCGCATAACCCGTCATCCGCCCGATCCAACCTGAGAGCAAGTGCGGATGGATGGCAGGTGGAAATTTGACAATCCGTTAAAGGGTGGGTGGATTAATTTTATGGCCAAAATCCACCCGACCCGCCTGTTGTCCACCCCTACTAGAAACAGAAGGGGATCATCGGGATTCGAATAGGAGACCTCTCGGCCACAGAAAACTCTGATATAATGTTATAAACCAATTGATCCCAATAACTCGAGTTGTTGGGAGAGATTCAATCCTGAATCATATACCATTTTACTAACAGGAGCAACGTGTTCGATCCCTTCTCCCTCGACATCTGGGACCCCTTCAAAGGCTTCCTCACCCCAAACTCATCGTCCTCCGCGTCGGCTTTGTTAATGTGAGGATCGACATGAAGGAAACCCCCGAGGCCCACGTTTTTAAGGCGGACGTGTCCTGCCTGGAGGAGGAGGAGGTGAAGGTGGAAGTGGAGGAAGGCGGCAGGGTTTTGCAGATCATCGGGGAACAGAGCAAGGAGCACAAGGAGAAAACCAACAAGTGGCACCGCGTGGAGCACAACAACGACAAGTTCATGCGGAGGTTCCGCCTACCGAACAACACCAAGGTGGACCAGGAGAAGGCCGCTATGGAGAATGGCGTGCTCACTGTCCCTATTCCCAAGGAGGAAGAGAAGAAGCCCCGAGTGAAGAACGTCCACATCTCTAGCTGATCATGGATGTAACGATGGGAATTACAGAGCCTGGACAGAGAGAAAGGGAAATTATGCGAGGCGGTATTTATTTTGTTGTGAGGGATGAACGAATGAATAAGTGTGTAATGTCAAGTTTCTTTGTTTGTTGTTTCAAATTTTCTTTGTTGTGTTGTCTACGTCTTTGTGTACTGGTTAATGGTTTTCCGACGATGTTAGTATCATGTAATGGAGTGTTTGGTAATATAATGTTGATCAACTCAAACAAAACGAGTAAATCACGAATACTATGATATCACACTTCACAAAACATGACCTATTTAATTCGAAGAGGTTTCCATTAACATATCAAAGGGCGTTTTCGTCGAAAGTAATATGAAATTTCAGATTAATTTCTACCAAAAAAAATTGCAAATCAATTGTATTGATAAGCAGGTCTATCGCTTAGTTATATTTAAAAAATGAAACGGGATCCATGGCCTTGCATACCCAGCGTCTGAAAGTACTAATGTTGGGGTTGTGGACGATCCATGGATGGGCATGGTGAAATTGTCTTTAATCATTTCCAGACATGCGGTCTAACTGGAGGCCTCCTAATGTGTATTGATATTGGGCCAGGCTGAGCTGAACCCAATTGGAGTGCTGGACAAAGATTGTCTTCTCCAAAGTAGAGGAAGCACCTATCGTACACTTACCTGGACCTGGAGGGATTTCCAAGCTGATCAATAAGGCCTGTCATATAGACCAATGACTTTCATTGCACTTGGTACCAAATATTGAAATTTCGAATAGCAAATAACATCATAAAATCAATCTCGATATCAATATAAAAAAAATCAGTAATCCAATTCTAAAACCTAATAATATGTTCATTATATACTGAATTAATAACTTTCAAAATTACTATTTACTCATCCCAGCACTTGTAAGACAAATGGTTCACAGTTTATAATAACAAACAAGAAGGTAGAATATCTAAAAAGCACATAAATATAGTATGATTTCTCAAACAATTAAAATCCTTACAATCAGATAAGCAACTGAGCAAGTTATCCTCAAGACAAGTTACAAGCAATACACTCTAATGATAATATCCGCCTTAATAAGTTTCTTTCACATGCACCACATCATCCTTCATCCTCTATCACATCCTCATATCCATTACGGTCTGGACAATAACGATTCATTGCATTTCGTCTTTATGATAAGTTTGCTCTGACAAAAAAATAGATTTGCGCTTGCGCTAACATAACCTGGAGATGTACTTACAAGAGTATTGCTTCCACCACCGATCAACATTCCCACTTCTACCCACATTCATAGTTAACCTTTGAAATGTTGCATACACTAGTTGGAATAAAGTGGCAATGGCAATGGAAAATAATATTAGCTAAACGCCAATAAAAAACAATAATATGCAGAGAATAAAAGAAATGATCACTTTCAGTCTCAAGGAGTAAGGGAATGGGTTGTGTTGGATTGAGTATAATTAATTATCAGTCTCAAAGAGCGAGGGAATGGATTGGTCTAGGTTGAGATTAAGAATGAGCTAAGAATAATAATTCCGCTTTTGGTTGTTGGCGTCTATAGTAGCAGTGACGGGAGGGGTCAGATACTATACCTACCCTCAAAGGGGTCGGTTTTTTTACACCCTCTTCTTGATTGGTCACTTTTCCATTCAATCATTTGGCAAGTTGTATTAGTGGAAGTTGTTTTTTATTTTATTTTTTGTAATTTTGTAAATTGGGAAAGCCTTAACTGTGATAATAATTTAGAATGGGGAAGGGACAATATAGCTGAATAAGGAAAGTGTCTTTTCAGCTCCCAAATTCCCTCCCAAAAAATAGCAACCCATCCCTCTCCTTTGCAGAACTTGAAGGCGGCCCTCTCCTCTGCAGAAATCGAAGGCGGCCGGAAACCATCGGCCATCGCCGCGGTGGGATCGCCTCCAACTCGCCTGGTGGGTTGCTCGCCTATGGACGAGATACATGGGATATTTCCAGAGATCGAGCCAACGAAGGCCACGCTGGGATGGAAGACAGATCAGATTCTGTGCGGCAGTTCTGGGCATTCCAAGAATGGCGGCTCCTGTGATGGCATCAAATGACGGGGAGGTGAAGACGAGAGTAGACTCTCCACCCGACAACAGGATGGACTGATGGCCGCCGAGAGAAAACCTGCCGGAGATGAAGAAGAACATGGCGGCCGGCAACGAGCCATTTCTTACCGCTACTTGTCGTGAAGTGCAACCCTACAACGTTTGGGAGATGGCGGCCGGCACTGTCGTGAACATGTACCACTGATCTGGTACATGTATCACTTAATTGGTATATGTACCACTAACCAGATACAAGTACCAGTGCAATTATTCAAGTTATACTTTTCACACCAAAATGTGACCACCCACTTGCAGTGTTAGATATAATGTACTTGTACCATTAGTAAAATCGAAACTCATCATAAATGTTCTCATTGCAGTGTTAGATATACTTGGGAGTTGGGAGTAGTACCATTGAAATGGTACATGTATATTGAAGTGATAGAGATACCAGTGAAGTGACACACATACCACTGCACTGATACATATATCACTGAACTGATACATATATCACTCAACTGATAGATATATACTATTGAACTGACACACATACCATTGAACTGATACATGAACCACTTAACAAATACATGTACCACTAGGTGCTGAAGGATGATTGGGTCACTTGGGTAATACAGCGGAAAAAAAGAATTTGAATTATATAGTTGGGGTTACACTTGTTGCCCCTAACATAATCAGTACGTTTCTTCTTCCCCCTATCTCGTTGTCCATTATCTGGGCTCTCACGGTGTCGCTTCTTGCTGGTACCGTACTCGAGGAACGATCATGACAACTTCTACATGACAAGGAACATAGTTTCCATGCCTCTACTCTCTAGGCACCCAAAGATAAGGTCTCTTCGTCCTATCCATTCATGCAGACAATAATCAACACTATCAATGTAGTGATAGAAATTTAAGTTCGATAAGTAAGACAACTATCACTACATTGGTATTATTTAGTGGTAGAATATATTTACCAGTACATCTTTGCACCTGCGGACTCCCTCTAAGCACCTGCAAAAAAGTACAACTGCATTGGTAAGACATATCACTTCACTGGTTCAAATACCACTAGAATAAAAAAACTTACCACTAATAACGTTCAACAGAAACTCAGACACTGGTACAATTACCATTGAAGTGGTAACATTACCACAAGAAAAAACAGATCTTAGTGGGTTTGAGAGAGAAAAACTATATTGATAAAGAATACTAAAAAATCACAGATTTAGAAAAAGCCATGGTAATGATACACTACCGGTTCACCGGTACAAATACCAGTACTTACATCTGACTATAATGATACACTACTAGTACATTGATATCAGTACCAATACACTGGTACTAATATCGCAGGGAAAAAATCCAAATATGTAAACTCAAAGACACATATATGGGTAGTGAAGAGACCATTGCACTAGTACTAACACCACACGAAAAATCGAGATTTGGGAGAGAGATAGTTGAGGGGAGAGAGCCACATCAGATTCTTCGTCAAAAAGGTGAGGAGGGTCGTCGTCTTCTCTGTCGACCCTTTTGCAGTGTCGTAGGGAGATGATCTTGTTGGTGCATCGATGACCAAACAACATGGATTGTGGCTGGGAAGAGGAGACGCCGACGAGCAGGGGAAGACGGAGATTACGGAGAGAGGAGATGTCTTGGAAAGCGAAGAGGGGGAGAGAAAAGTCTTACTACTTTTGAATTGGTATGGGAAACTAAAGGGCCAATTAGTGCCCTCGATTACCGCCCCACTTCCCCTAATTAATGTGGGTGAGAAAACTCAAATAGGTAATTAATGCCCAATTATCGTCTTGTCATTTTCTCACCATTAGACTACTAATGTACATCAACGACTCCTAATATGAGTGTCGAAAATCAGACCCCTGTCGAGGGTTAGTCAAGCTAACTGCTCCCCACGGGAGCAAACTTTGGAGGGATAAAATGCACACTAATTTATATTCGGTTATGGTCCTATAATTTGTTTTAACTATGAAAAATGGATAAAACTGAATTTGAATTAGACCTAAAAACCAAACATGTTCTTGGTCCGATTTGATTCTCATTTTATCTTTATTTTTTGTCCGATTCTGTCTAAACTCAATCCAGTTATAAATCGAATCAAACAATACCCATCCCAACCTAACATACATGGGATTGGCACCTCACCTCACCTCACCTCACCTCACCTCACCATCCGTAAGATCGAGGGAGAAGTCGTTGTGGAAAGAAACAATGCCATGCCATAACGGCTAGTAATTAATATAAGGACGCTTAATGACAGGAATACAATGATTAGGTTGAGTTAGGTATGGAAACTTTTCATTCTTTTTTCAACGTGAGCCGACAGGGAGGATTTTGGGCCTTAAAAAATAATTGGAATATCACTATAATTGTTTTTTCGAAATTTAACAAGAAAATTAAAGGATTATTGATAATTTGATATAATTAGGTGGCGGTTAATAGCATTTTATACCCTTCTACTATTGCAAATTAACAAGCGTACACGTCTACTAAATTTTTGCACAACATACATTTATAATATTAAAAGGTAACGAGTTTATCCCTCGTTCCAATTTTATGTTAAGTGGTCGTTAAATGAACTATGAAATGACTCAATTGCCTCTCATTTATTCTCAAACCCTTGTAATTTTGATTTTAATTATTTTATGTCCCAAATCAATTAATTTCAAAAAATTAAAACCACTAAACTAGTTCACACGTCGAGAAATTGTTCGTCTCCCTAAAGCCTTCTCTGACGATTAGTCCATCGGTATCTGCGCCTGGAGCAGTTCCTGTACATAACCTTGTGGTGAGTAACTATGCATAACCCAATCACCATCCGCCACATATGCGCCACTTCTCTCTGCTGAAAACCTTTAATTTTGTCCATTTAATCGACGATTTCTCGCTCGTTTTAAGTCGAATTTTTTTTTTTTTTTTGCACAGTAAGATCAAATTAATTGTGTTTTTCAAAATGATATCCACTTTGATATATTTTTGGAACAAAAAAAAATTGAGCCATTTTTTACTAGTATATACCATATGGTATTGACTAGGGATGGAAATTCGGTTGCAGTTTTGCGATTAAACTGCTAACTGTACCAAAACGGTATGGTTAGTGGTTAACCGCAAACAAAAAAAGGATATTTTGCGATCGTGGTTAGCAATATTGCATGTTTTGCGGTTTGCGGGTTAACCGCAACCACAACCGAACAACATGTAATCGCATTTTAACAGATTACTAACTAGGTTCAACCAGATGATCGAACCCAACTAGCAACCATGCTTTGTCCTAGGGCTGGCTATTTGGACCGGGACCGGATGAAAAACCGGAAACCGGACCGTATAACCCGGACCGAGACCGGACCGGGACTGGATAGTAAACAATCCAATCCAATTTTTGGGCTTAGATTTGAGGTAAAAAATCGGATAAAGACCGGATAAGAGAGCTCAACACCCAAAACTTAAGGGTAATTTGCATAAACGGTCACAAACCTTTGCACTCGATACAAAACTTAACCAACTCCTCACCCTTTTAGGCCTTAGGCCACTCAAATTCCCACAATCTCAATATAAAATCAAGACCGAATTGGGACCGGACCGGATCAAGACCGGACTGTATCCAATCCAATCTTCGGTCCTTATATTTTCAAAAAACCCGGACTGGACCGGATCAATTTGGGCCAATTTAACCGGACCGGACCGTATAGCCACCCCTACTTTGTCCCATCTGACTCTTGATCCGTAACTAATTTCAAATTTTTATTTAATTATAATATGGTTCCGTCCACTTTTTTGGAGCTTTTTCCCCGTTTTGAAAGGAGAATGGAAGTGGGGGAAGGGAGAGTGAGAGAGAAGCTAACATCCAATTGTTCCATAGTCAACTCCGCCCCATGGGGATTCGGCCTTCTATAAATATCCCACAACCACTCTCCCATTTGGCTCTTGCTCTTCCTTTCCTTTCCTCTGCCTTCTTTCTTCATTCTTTCTTCTTCAGTTTCTGGTTTCCATTTGTAATTTTCTTTTGGAGCTGTTCGTCTTCAATCTTCTCCGTCCAATTTTGTTTAGGTCAATTATTGTTGTTGTTGGCGACACACAGACAAGGTATCCAGGTAGAGAGATACAGAGAGAGACTTTTTCTTCTTTGCAGGTCGGCCGTCCATTTGCTTCCTCCCTCTCCAGATCAAGTGAGATTTTAATTTCTCTCTCTTCTTTTCCTTTCTGGTTGTTTGTTTTGTTTCTATCAATTGCAACTCAGATCCGAGTGAGTGATTGTTTATGTTATCCCCCTTCCTCTTCCCTTTTCCCTTTTTGTTCTGATCTAATAAGTGTACCGTGAATTTAAAGAATCCTTTCAGCTTTATCCTGTTTAGATAATGTTTTATTAGATTTGATACTGGTATTGTTATTTTTAATTTCATTAAGTCAGTATGAGCTCTCAAGAATCGGTTTCATATACACTGGATCTGCACCTGACCCTGATGATCATTCCTGTATTTTCTGCCTACCCAACAACCAATTACCCACATCCCAAATCTCTCATTTCCCCATCTGAAGCTGGGGTTGCTCCCTCCGCCTTCTTCCTGAACAACAACCTTTTGAGAAATCATTCTCTGGCATCCGGATTTGGGAGTTACAGAAGGCAACCCATTTGACCAATTTCTCGCCTTCTGCAGAACTGCGTTGAAGGACGTGTGAAAGTCGAGAGCTTTTGAAGTGAAAGCTGAAAGCAGCAATGGAAGTTTGTGGCAAACCCATGGTTACGGTACCCGGCAATGTCATTTACCTGTCCACCATTCTGGGGCGTGATGGGTCGGTTCCTGTTCACAAATGTGATTGGAAGTGTCGGAATGAGCACATCTGTGGTAACATGTACCTCTGCAAGCTAACTGGTCTCACTCACATCTGTGACAAGAATTGTAACCAGAGGATCTTGTACGATAACCATACTTCTCTCTGCCGGGCAAGTGGCAAGATGTTCCCTCTCTCGCCTTCTGAGGAGCAGGCCGTCAGAGGAGTCCGGAGGAAGATCGATGCTGAGACCTCTCCTCCAGATACCTGTGCTTTTAAGCGCAGGAGGGAGGCTTTCCATCCTTCACCCTTCAAGAGAGCTTTTGCTGCTGCTGTCCCCAGTCCAATCTGCAGTCAAGTCGGAGATGGCATGGATTTGAGCTAGATGTTATCTGTCAAATAACTGAAGTGACTCTTTGCTCCTTACGCTTATTATGTCTCTTTACTTCTATTGCCTTTTTCTTTTTCTCTTCCCCCCCTTTACTTTCTTACTTTATCCTGTGGACTGAGTATCGATTACTAAGCTTAATGCGGGGACTTCAATGGTGGACTTGATGTGTCCTCCTTGCTGTAGGAACTCTATTTCAGATTATGTTTAATGCAATTTAGCACTTCTTAAGCGTAGATTATCTTATGGAGGATTCATTATGAATAAAGCTGAGTTTAGTTTCATGAGTCTTATGTTTGAGTCTAACTGTAGTGATTGATGGATCCGTTTTGGTTGGCGTGAACCTATTATGGTGTCTTTTCCCGGCTTTGTAATTCCTTTTCATAGTTACATAGAGTGTTTTTCTGTGTGTGTGGCTGTTTCTAGCTTCTTTAGTGGATTATCACATATATGTAACACTTGATGGAGGCATCTCTTAATATGTGTCGATTAACTTCAGATTCAATTGACTTAGTGTGTAGTCTGGCTTTTGGTTTCATATGATACAGGCTATGTCAGGTTCTTCAAATGAAAGGCCAGTATCATAATGATCTGGTAGAAGTTTGAATTTTTCCTTGTGATATTTCCACTGATTTATGCAGGGCTTGAAAGGCTAACTTGCTTCATTTCGTATGTATTATTGTTTAATTACTTTGTCTAACTTGGTTTTGTGCATGTTTTTATTTTGTTTTTGAAGTAAATTTCAATTTTGCAGGGGTTCTAAGTGTGCAATTCCCAAGTTTTCATTTGCTCACTGTGTTTCATTATGTTTCTTATAATAAAAAGCTGATATCCATCCCACTGTTTTATATCTGTCCATCTCATTTGGTTTTTTCTTTCTGTGCAGAGGAGAGCATCAGAATGACAGAATGTGCTACTGGAAGGGCAAGGCTGAGGAAAGTATATGTTCTTTGATTCATCTTGCTGCTATTTGGGTGCTGCAGCAACTGAAACCTTGGAATATTCCTTCTGGTTGGTTAAAATCTGCATCTTACCTTGCTATCTATGCTTGTGCAGAGAGATTTTCTGGGGTTTTAATTAGGGATGGCAATTTACCCACCCATGGGTAATTTTGCCCAAACCCAAGTAGACCCATTTATTATGGGTAGGGTTTGGGTGATATGTGTATGGGTTTGGGGTTTGTATATGGGTTTGGGTTAGGTATGAATATTATCTAAATGGGTATGGGTTGGATATGGATATCCATTTACTTGAGGGTGTTTTAACTACACATGCAAAAATTGGACTTATTTGTAAAACTTGAAAAATTTAGGTACCAAAATGTAAGACCAAAAAAATTTAGGTACCAAAACGTAATTTTCCATCGATATTTTGAGGACTTATATGCAAAAAAAAATTAAATTTAGGTACTAAATATGCATATCTATTAAATATAGGTACCAAACTGTAATTTGTATTTGGGCATGGATACAAACCCAAATCCATTTGTTATAAACCCAAACCAACCCAAAGTAAATGGGTATGGGTACAAACCCATTAAACTTTACCCATATCCATATATTTGGATTTCATACCCAACCCAATTGGGTTGGATAGTAAAATACCCATGGATATGGGCAAAATTGCCATCCCTAGTTTTAATCATTTTTAAGCAGGTACAATTATTCTGCTTTACAAACCAAGTGGTTGGCATCTCAGCTGAATGGGGCCAGCGATACTCAGATATTTACTCTTCTCTTACCCTTACTTCAGCATCCATATTTTCTGTGTTATGGTAGGGAAAGGGTGGTTTATCAGGTTATTGATAATTAAGTGGCTTCAACTCAATACAATTTCATGGAAGGATTGGAGTGGAGTTGTGAAATGAGCAATCAACCTTTGTTCTGTTGTTGTTTCAGCTTGCCAGACTGGAAATGGGAAATGAATGTTTGTTTCTTATTGAAATGCATCTTTTCCAGCTGAAATACTCAATCCCATATGTTGAGCATTTGAGAGTTGAGTAACACGGATATAACTCTATGGTGGAACTGGTGTTGGTGATTCACTACTGAAAGGAGGATGGTGATCTTTCCACCAAAAAAAAAAAAAAAAAAAGAAGAAAAAGAGAAGACGGTGGTGAAGGTTATTGTTACAGCTATGAGCTGCCTTGTTGCATTTGGCAGATAGACCAGTCTTTAAACTGGCAGTGATGCTGTCAGAGAAATCTGTTTCAGAGGTAATGACGATTCATTGGAGGCGCATTTTTGGAGCCAGGTCAGGGAATCTGCTTTTAACTTTTGGCATGATTGTGGGGCTCAATTTTGTGTTCTTTCTTGCGCTTGTTAGTGGAAGCTATTAATGGTTTGGCTTATTCAAACTAGGTTGGCCGAAAGAAAGGGCTGGTTTGTATCCTATTCATTGTGCATAAAGTACGGTTGCAGTTGACTGATCGTACTCCAGAAGATCCCTTTGAACTTGGAGCTCCGAAGGATAGGATGATGTGGTTTGGCCTGGAAGTCTACAAGTGCCTACTTTATGGTCTGGTCACACTATAGGAACTGGCTGGTCTGAAGTTCCCAGGTCTGAGTGGTGTCCCTGCTAGTATAGTTTGCAATCTGCGTGTGCATGCCACTTTGGTGATCAACAAGATGAGAACTCTTAGTGCTTTTTGTTTACTCTCAAGCGAGCTGGTGTTGCATTTTTTAATTGACAGACAACATTCTGATTCATCAATTTTTGAGTCTTGTTACAAGGTTTGATCCTACTTCTCTCCCTTGGTTCCAAGTCGCTGAGATGCGCCAAGCAGAGCTGTGATCTGATCGTTTTATGTTCTGCTAACAGGAAGGATCCTACTTCTCTCCCTAGGGTGGATTGTTGGTGCTGTGGAAGAGTTTTGACTGCTGGCTGCTGGGTGAATGTCCCTTCAGTTGGGTAGGGTACTGGATAGCGAGAGAGCAGGAGCGGATCTTTAAAGCATTTTCTTTCCTGATTGGTATAGCCTTAATAGGATCTTGACACATTCAATAATGTTGCACTGGCCACTGTGTCTGTGCGTACTTGTTTGTAGCTAAATTAGGCAGAGGAATCGTTTTGCGTTAGTTTGTTTGTCTATTTGTGTACTGTGTTATCCAGGCAGGATCATGAGAGAACGATGACTGGATTATGAGAGAACGATGTTGATTATGAATGATGGAAAGTGCGCTACCCAGAAGCCAGAAATGGATGGGCTCATCTCATAGGCATTATTAACAACTAGGGCTGCAAATGAGCCAAGCTACTCGCGAGCAACTCGAGGCTCGAATCGGGAAAAACTCGTTCGAAACTCGATTCGTTTACTGACGAGCCAAGCTTAAGCCTAGCTATGTTCAGCTCGTGAAGCTCGCGAGCTAGCTCGACTTGGTGGCTTGTTGAGCTCAACTCGTGAGTTAGCTCATTTAGAGCTCATGAGATGTCTCAACATTGTGGTTTGAGGGCCAACTTGATCACTGACTTATGGACTAATCGATCTAATTTGGACTTTCATAATTCATAGGATTGTTAAATTATATATCTCACATCATGTGAAGTTTAACATGTTGAACATGTAAGAAAATATGCCTTATTTTTAACTCTATAAAGAAATTATGTAAAAAATTATTTCGATACTATGAAATAACATGATTTGAACTAGTTAAAATTTATTAACTAAACAATATGACACCTAAAAATTATAATATAAGATTAATTAATGTTGAACATTTGATTATTTTTTTATCACTACATCAATCACATGTACCATACACGACATACAAAATGAATGTATTAAATACGATCTAAGAATTTAGTAAACAAGCCTAACTCGAACTCGACTCGACTCAGCTCGTTAATAAATGGCTCGGGCTCGAGCTCAGCTCATTTGTTAACGAGTCAAGCTCAAGCTGGGGTAAAACTCGGCTCAGCTCGGCTCATTTGCAGCCCTATTAACAACCCCATCACTCACACACTATTCAGCTAATCTACTGTACCAGACCACATAGTCATGGCCACAAGGCCATTGACATACCTCATATTAACCAGTTAGTTTCAAGGATTAAAAAATCGCATCGTACCGATGGTTCGACCAGAAAAATAACATATCGCTAACTTTTTCGTTACCTTCGATACGGTATTCTGATCCTTGGTTATTTTTATTTTATTTTTCATATTCATTTGATTTCGTGTAACCGAAAGAGTGGACCTACGTGCAAGTCGGAAAAAATGCATCCTTTTCATCAACAATTTTGATGGATTTCACTGCAATTCGAGACAAATAACTTGTCTATATCATAAAGCAGAGTCTGCCTCGGTGGCAAAGCCATGTTGAGTTCACGATAGCACCTCAACTCTCATGTGTTTGGTAAATTTATGTGTAAAATATATAACAAATTTCGAAAATATATTATTTGTTAAGACTCTAACTTTCTTTCAATAGTAAGACTTTTTCGTTCTGATTTTTTATTTGACCACTTATTTGTCTTCTCGTCACTTTGTTAGTCTCGAGGGTACAACATATGAACTTGAACCACGGGTTATAAATTTGTCACAAAGTTTAAAACTTTAGATATAGAAATGTATTTTTGTTAAAAACAATAGAAAATTATCTAGGTTGTTTACTACGAAACCGTTGGAGCTACATTTTAGCATATAAGGGTTATGGTCGATTTATGCGCATGATATATCACCCTCTGATATATAGCCCAGTTACTGGGAGTGAAAATAGAATCAGAAGAGCAGAACTTAATTTGATTTTCCTGAGCAAAACACTTACTGAAGAGAAACACAGCATGTTCATATCCATCGGCGACCCATGCTTCTCTGAAATGAAACATTCAGCACCCAAATGGGTGGGGGAATGAAAATGGTAGAAGCTCTTGGAAGAGGCGAATGGAACTGTCTGGAAAAGAAATTACGACCACTGTGTAGACCAAAGACAGAGGAGTCCTACAGTTTGTGGGTCGACTTCACGAGAAGGCTCTAGATATAAAAATAAAGGCAACACTTTTGCTAGCCTGTAAGGTGCTAGAGTTCTCTTATCTAATGCTATATATAGACCCCCGATCCCAAGCTTATATGATCAGACAAACCTTGTCTGAGTTCAGCAAAAAACATACTCTCGTCACTTACAACAGTTTTCCTAGAGTCTCCAACTATGTCGATCATTCCCAGCCTCCGAGGCAGCCGACTGACCAACGTTTTCGATCCATTCTCCCTGGACCTATGGGATCCCTTCGATGGGCTCATCAGCTCCACGGTGGCGAATCTGCCCCGTGAAACCTCTGCATTTGCCAATGCCAGGATCGACTGGAAAGAGACGCCCGAGGCTCACATCTTCAACGCCGATCTTCCCGGTGTGAAGAAGGAAGAGGTGAAAGTGGAAGTTGAAGATGGTAGGATCCTGCAGATCAGCGGGGAGAGGAGCAAAGAGCAGGAAGAGAAGAACGACAAGTGGCACCGCGTCGAGAGGAGCAGTGGCAAGTTCATGAGGAGGTTCAGGCTGCCTGAGAATGCCAAGTTGGATCAGGTGAAGGCTAGCTTGGAGAATGGCGTGCTCACTGTGACTGTTCCCAAACAGGAGGAGAAGAAGCCGGAGGTCAAGTCCATTGATATCTCTGGCTGAAGTGCATGCCCAAGCCGTCTGAAAGCTGAAGGATCATGTTGCTGCAACCTGCAAGAAATGCAACAATCACAGAATAAATAAGTTTCGGGTTTCTCGTTTGTGTTTGTGTGTCAGTGTGTGATGATGTTGTGTTTGTGATTTGGTTTCTGTAAGTGTGATCACTGGAAACCCTCTTGGGTCTGGTTAATAAAAGTTCTTATTACTATTCATCAAGAATTTCTGCCATATTATAGCTACGTTTGATTTAGCTTTAGCATGAGTTTTCTATCATTTAATATTGCCTACAGTGCCAGTAAAAACTGAGTTATGCGCTCACCTAGATTTCCTGGACTTCGGGTGAAACCACGAATAAATGCATAGTGCTAAAAGGAATAAGGAGGAAAGAAAAGTGGAGATGTAACGCACATTAGAGGATTGCTGAAAGCCACGAGCATGAATCTCACCATGCCCTTTCTGGTGATTAAGCACTTTGTATCAAGAGAGACCAAGCTGCTAACAGATTACTTAGCTGGACCCTTCTGCGTACTAGTCAGCCGAAAACTGTCAAATAGTGTCATCTGCCAATTGCAAATATTTACAATGTACGCTGTGCTGTTGGAGAAATGGTAGGAGCTGAGAAATCTTGGGCATCTTGTCAAGTTTTCATCCCTAAGAATTCTCTTAGATTTGGAACAATGCCTTTATCTTCAGTAGCCATGGGAGCACAGGAATGACAGGAATTTATCAAAGTTTAGTACCTGGTTCGGGCTCAGTACTGAAATGGAATTCTGGGTACTTCCTCCAGTTAATCTGAAAATTAAAAAACCTCAGATACATACCATAAAAAAGTGCCAGTAAAAAGACTTGCATATTCTAAGTTCTAACACATCATTGCCATATGAAGATGCGTGAAAATTACTAGTGGTTCTCTGTTTCTTCTATCCAAGGAAGGCCACTCACCCACTCATCAGTCCGAATGTTGAAACAAATGCAGTATATGTGCCACGTCAGAAAGAACACCTACAATCATAAAACTCTAATCACTACATGAAGTCACTGCAGCAAAGCAGTATAAAAATTCCACTAGAAAAGAATGGCAAATGACCTGCCATAGCACTTGCAGAAGAGAGAAGAGCATTGTACTCGTAACCAAACTTCTCGCTAGATCACTCTACAGCAACAAGGTGACAGTATTTGGAGTCAGAAGCTCTGGATACTAGCAGCCGCTGTTTGAAAAAGGTTACAATATTAGCAGAACATGCATTGCCTGAACATAGGGATCTACCTGGAACTTGTGTTGGCGTAACACCCAGTATCCTCTAGCAACTGAAAAGACAGATACACAAGACTCAACTCAGGATTCCGTCACCCAAATGTGGAAAGAACTAGATACAAAAGCATTTCAAACAAGTTTTAGATGTTCACTAGTGGATATCACAACCATGTCAGAGGACTATGGAACACATTCAAAATACATTTCCAGGTTTCTATCTCTTTAAATCTGTAATTCCACCTACATCTGGTCGCAGGATATTTCACCATAATTGAGATAACGATCACATGATATTTGGGAGGAAAATTTAAATGCTTACCCCGAAAGGAGTATACTACATATGAAGCTTCAGTAGCAAGAAATCCAGTAAGAAGAACCACGAACAGGACATGATTCTTGTATCCTGCTCAACGCAGCTACTATTAGAGAGAGAGAGAGAGAGAGGGAGAGAGGGGGGGGGGGGTGTCACGACAGCGAAAAAGTGAATAAACCAAAATAAAGTAAAAAATGTCCAAAACCAATAAAATGAGCAATTGGTAATGGTATAAAGGAAACCACTCCCAGACGTCTCCAATTCAACTGAAGCCACAAGCAGAAGATATATAGGATCGAACATTTACCTATGCAGTTCCCAAAAGCAGGACAATGGTGGTCGAAACCCTTAACATGTGATTTGCAGCTTTTACAGTATCTTACCCGCAGAGGCAGTACAGCACCCTGAAACAGAATACAGCAAAAGGACTTCTGAATGAGCATAGATCGAACAAAATTACAAGATCAAAGAGAGAATAAAAAAGACTAGAGAGGCAACACAATAATATTAGACAGCTCTTCATGCACAAAAACACTGAAAGACTTGTTCTTTGTCTGAATGTGATTTCGCAAAGAAGTGAATTGGCACAAGATCTCTACTAGAGTTGTTTATCTAGAACAAGAAAGTGCACAACATGACCATGCTGAAATCAAGCAAATGAAAAGAGATTCCAAATCGAAAATCTGAATAGCATATGAGAGGCAACACAATAATATCAGACAGCTCTTCATGCACAAAAGCACTGAAAGACTTGTGCTTTGTCTGAATGTGATTTCGCAGAGAAGTGAATTGGCATGAGATCTCTACTATAGTTGTTTATCTAGAACAAGAAAGTGCACAAGCATGACCAGACTGAAATCAAGCAAAATGAAAGAGATTCCAAAATACCAAATCTGAATAACATTAGCATGCTGGACAAATGAAGCAAATGAAGTAAAGCTGAAATAGAGAATAAAAACTGTCTCGGCAAATCTTAAACACATTCACTTCCAACATCTTGCTAAACTGGGTCGTTACTAATTACTAATGTGAGTTCATTTCAAAAGGCTAACTCCTTCAATTACTACCTCATCATGAACTTCAGTCGCAAGAGCTTCAGTTTCGACAAGCTCAGCAGCTGTCCCAGGAAACCCATTACTCACGAAACCAGGATCGCTTGACAGAATTCTGCCCACCAAGATGAAAAGCACTCCAGTCATTTCATATCAAACTAGTACTGAAAGGGTACCATTACCAATCACAGTGGGAAGATTCAGGATTGACAACCTAAATAAACCAATGAAAAGCAGAGCAATCTCTCCGTTGAAAGTAACATCAACCAGACGTGGAACAGCTGCGGCAAAGAAAAGAAAGAAAGAAAAACGTAGTCCGCTCAATTTCAGCCAGAAGTTCGAAGGAAATCATTTTGTTGAATCACAGGCCAAATGAAACGAACAATCACCAGGTCGAACAGCAACAAAGTAAACTCCCCAAACGAAGAGCGTATTGAAGAGAACTAGAGCAGGAGCCGACGCGGAGACGCCGAGAAGCCGCCTACAACATCTCCCGAAACCGACAACCAACAGCAGAACTACGACTAAGGAACCCCCAAAAGATTCATTCAGAACCCTGGAGTCAAATAGCCCTCGAACGAGGAGAAATTTGCAGACGGAGAATGAGGCTTGGAGTACCTGAGAGCAATAGCTGGAGGAGAAGGGAGGATGCCGGGAGCAAACGAGGGACCAGAGCGAGTGCGAACTGAGTGATTATGACGAGGACGAAAGAAACCATGTAGCGGCCAGCTGATTGGAAGCAAACTACCCAGAGTTTCCCCGGCCGACCGTATAAAGGCAGCATCTTCTCCCCCACCTTCAAAACAATTTTGACTCGGAACGCTCGACCAAGAACTCACCGCCGCCGTCGATGCCCCAGGTCCGTTTACTCGTTCAACCGTTTGTCATTTTTATTTTGATTTTGATTTTGATTTTTTTTTTTGCCGGTCAGCCGTCGGTCCATTGTTAACGTGCCGGAATTTGATTATTATCAAGCTGGTTAGGAAGATGAGCCAATAACTAGGCCCAACAGCTCGTGGCCCTGGCCTGGAATAATAATAGTTAGGGTTGGACCGTTGGAGTGGGTGGTTTTCAGGTCACTCCAACGATCTGCTGCACTATATATTTTTAGGATCATTATGTTTTCTAATCATCCTACTTCATACACACTTAATCATCAATTCTAAAACCCAAAACAAATATTGTTGGACTACTGCTATGCCTATTAATTAATAATTATTATATGTGGTGAACTCCCTTGGATTCCAAATAGGAATGACAATGGAGTGGGTTTGGCTAAACCATTCTCATTTTCATTTTCAAATATCCAACCCATACACGTCCTATACCCATGGGAGAAATGTTTTGCAAACCCATCTCCATACTCGTGGGTTTCGGGTACCTATGTATAATACCTGTCATGTACATCCAACATTATGACTTTGCTACAGTGACATGGACTTTTCGGTCGACCTAATCCTAAAGGAGGTTGACCGTCTATATAAAATGGTCGACCTCTTTGGTGGTCGAACATAATGAAAGGTCGACCCAAATACCACATAGGCCGACCCTTGTGCACCTAATAAGTCGACCCCATGCACACCGTATCCGTATTGGATAATGATTCCAACACCAGAAGGTTCCACAATTGGACAAGAAAACGAATTGGGTCGACCCATTCACGTCCTAAAGCTTTATAAATACGAAAATAAGTCCCCTTCAACGCCACCAAAAGTATGAAGTAGGTTTTTTCTGATTTAGAGCCTTTGTGAAGAAGATCGTTCGCGGTTGCTATTGTACGTGTTGAAAGTGGTCGACCACGTCGAAGGTGAGGTCGACCTAATGTAGCATTTGCCGTCATCTTCTCTAATGCATGATTTACACCGTCTAATTTGATATATTTTTGCGTGCAGAATACCATTCAGTCGACCTTTATCTCAACCAGGTCGACCTGACGAGACAATTGTTCGGAATTGAATTTAGGGCACAACACTTGGACTTACGTACTTGCGAGGTAACGAAGATCAACCCAATAGGTCGACCTAATGTGTTTCAAGGTCGACCGTTTCTGTTTGTTTTGGTTGTTCAACCTGAATGTCGACTCTGGCTTTGTTTGTAAGACTATGTTGTGCTTCAAAAGGTCGGTCGCTCAAGCTATCTGGTCGACCTATCCGTTTTTTGGTTTAATATTACACTTGCTTTTGTTTGTGAATTGTTATTTTCCTGCTGGATAGGTCGACCTAGGAAGATCAGAGGTCGACCTTAAAGGTTCTGGTAGTCACAATTTGTCTTCCAGTTCGACCTAATAATTTGTCAGGTCGACCACGTCTCTGTTTTTGGTCAATTGTAGAAATTTGAAGTTGAATTATGATTTGAATTTTTCTTTAAACTGTTTAGACGATGATGCATGATGAGAGACTACATCACGATTTGGGTGAACTCATGAAAGTGTTGAAAGCCACACAAGAGAAGCTGGTGGTGTCTCAAAAACAAGTCAATGACTATCAGAAGTCCATTCGTGATAGAGTGGAGCAATTGTCAGTTCAATTAACAGATATGACTGGGATGATGCATGATGGTTTTGAGAGGCTAGAAAATGCTATCAAAGAAATAAGTGCAGAACGAATGGAGAATGGAGGAAGAGATGGTACATGAAAGAAATTTGACTTTGATAAAGAGGAGGAAGACCATGATGACTCTGCAAATTGCTACCAGAGCATAGACGATTTATTGAAAGAGCACAATTTAAAGGTAGACAAATATATTCATATGTGATTGAAGATATTAGTATTACTATCAGTAGTGTTAATTTCTTTTGTTTATATGTTTGACAGAGTGAAACAATGTATGGCAGCAAGGGTTCCTCTCCTAAGTACAAGAGACCTCGATATGAAAGTGACTCCTACACCACTCCACAGAAAGATCATTTTGTAAGAAAAAGGATTATTTAGTGCTGATAGCGACGAAGATGAATCTAAGAGTCCTTTCAAAAATCACAGAGTAAGTTTACGTTACATATTCATCTATAATGTGTGTTTGTGTTTATATTAATTTTAACTATGATTTGTAGGTCATGAAAGTGGAGGGCCTAGAAGGATTCACCAAAAATCTTCAAAATCCAGTTGAAGACTTGTATTATGTTGTTACTAAAGAGAAGGTTGGGGACGCGAATTGGGACAAGTAAGAGACGTTTTTTTAGTACGTGTGGTCGACCGTTTAGTTCATGAGGTTGACCTTGACTGTGAACAGGTCGACCTGTACGTTGCAAATCACAATTGACATTTCTGTTATTTTGATTTTTGCAGTTTGACCGTTGTTGACTTTTTATGAAAACGTGCAACGAAATTATTTGAGTTCGGTCATTAGCGAGAGTAGCTGGATTTGCTCATCCGTAAGTACTATACTGCTACGACTTTCGTATGAATTGTGCACTATTTATGTTACGATTTACGAGGATTTTATGTTTTGATTGTTGGTTGGTAGGTGGTGGATTTGTGTGCAAGGGCACTAACAATGTCTGAAAAACATTATGTGAAAGAGCCAAATGTATGGTATTTTCCAAATATGTTTTCGGTAAGAGCCGTAATGTTAAATTATTTGTCAAAACCTAGTTATTTATATTATACCATGTCAATTCATCTCAATTAAAACATGATACAAAAAATGGTACGCGCTAACATGAAGACCGGACCAATTCGTAACAAGTTGATGGATGATGGCGTGGTGTTTGTGCCGAATGTTAGTGCATGTCAGAAGGTTAGTCAATGTCCCTATCTCATTAAATTTCGAAAGTGCATTTGTTTGTATTCGCTTTTTATAACATATAGTGAGTGTTTCGTTGCTAGATATTTATGTCAGTTCTTGACGATGAAGCACGTCATTGGTTTCTGTATCTCGTCAATATCTAGCAAAAAACTGCATTTTTGCTTGACAGTCTACCTTCAACTAGTGAGGCGAATCGTAAGCGTAAATCAGCACTATGCAAGAAATTGGTAAGTGTTTCCTATAATTTTCTGACTACTAAGCGTCACGTATTATGCTAGAAGCATAAAATATTCGTTATTTGTGTGTAGTTGTCCAAATTGGATGATATTTTCAAACTGGAGCGCATGAGCAATGTAGCAGTACCAAATTTTGGAGATTTCAATTTTGAAGAGCTACGAGTTCAAGGGCAAAGGAATAGTACCAAGTGTGGTGTGCACGTCATGCAGTGGATGCGCTATGGATCCAAGGATCTGGATAGAGTGGTGAGTATATCGTCTAACAAATAACTTGTTTAATTTGTACTTTTTTTAGTTCTAACAAAGTCTTACATACCATAATGCATATAGGAGAAGAACACAGATTACAGGCTCGAAAGGAGATTCTATGGTATCTGGCTACACATTCTGAAAACCGTGCACGAGAAAATATTTTCAAGCATATAGTAGATGAATGCATGGAACGAGGGAAAGAGTTCAAACAAAAAAGGAAAAAAAAATGAAGTCATTAAGTTACAATGTTGCATTATTTAGACAATACGTTGAATTTGTATTTGCGAGGTTGTTGCCTTTTAGGTTTTGAATGTTTATCATTTATTAGATTTGTTATACAATTATGGATGTCAAGGAATTTACGATTTCAATCGTCTAGAACAAGTGGTCGACCACATACTCAAAGCGGTCAAACCTGTAGGCAGAGCACAGGTCGACCTCGTGACGCTTAAGGCCGACCTATGATACCGTAGCAAAGTCCAAAATAATGTGGAATAAGGATGGAGTCCCGTGTGTTTCGCCTTAATAAAAAACGGTCGACCATTCGTGTAAAGAGGTCGACCTGTTTCGCATTTATAAAAAACGGTCGACCATTCGTGTAAAGAGGTCGACCTAAATGGGCTGAATTAGCTTTTTACTTACTTCTCCTTGTCCAATTAGGATTTTGCGTACTTGTCCTTGTTGAATTATGATTTTATATATCCTTCACCAATTGGGATAAGTGTTCCCCATACCAGTGAGGATAAGGAATTCGTCTACATTCTCTATAAATAGATAGAAGTCGAAAGACTTTATTCGTACTTCAATTTATGCAATTTGTTGGAGTGAAGTTGTAATCTCATCGCTTTTATTGTGATCGTGTGTTGGTGGTGGTTTATTCTTATTCCGGTAGACCGTATCAATAATTGGTCGACCGTGTCTGCTAAGGTGTGTGTCGTGTGTGCTGTTAAAGGTTCTCTGTGGTTCACTTTTTCCCTAATTAGGTCGACCACCTCAACCTTTCGGTCGACCGTATCTGTGTAATTATAAGATAAGGTCGTCCATACAGTTGATTCAGGTCGACCTGACGAGAGCTAATTTTGTATGTATTTGACATTCAATTCATATTCCGATCGTTGCAGGAGGATAATAGAGATGATAGAGATGCTGACGAGATTAACTTCGATGAGGAACCTAAGGATGCTCGAGGAGGATCTATGGATAATCCAGATGATACAGATGATGAAGTGATTGGGGATGATAAGGAAATGAAGGGTGCTGAAGAAGAATTTATGGATGATGAAGAAGCTACTGAATATGAACAACAAATTCCTTCCATGGAGTTCCAAACATTAGAAGATGCAGAGAAATTTTATGATGTCTATTCTAAAGCGAAAGGGTTTAGCGTTCGACGTAGAGATCTTCGGAGGAGTTGTCGAGGAGTAGCAATTGGGAGGACAATGGTATGTTCGAGATAGGGGAATAGACAGAAGATGCATATAGATAAAGAAGGCCGGACACGACAACATCGTAAGATGACAAGACATTTTTGAAAGGCATCGTATACTATACGCTTTGATCAGAATAAGAAAATGTGGGTTGTTTCTAAGTTCGAGAGGAAGCGCTCACATCTTTGCTGCAATGATGAAGAAACTCAATTCCTTCGGTCACATCGAAATGTGAGTGAAGGAGACAAGGCTCTGGCGATAGGGATGCAACAGTCAGAAATAAAACAACGCAACATTGTTCAGTTCATGAAGAATAAAGTTAGAGGATATGAGAATCTGGGGTACACTCCAAAGGATTTGGATAACGTTGTTCAGAAATCCCGAACAGTTGACGACGATCTAATAGAAGATGTGAACCAAACATTGGGTTACTTGCAAAGTAAACATACCTCTGATGCGGGCAGCTTCTTCAAGTACACAACCACCGATGAAGGTGAATTAAGCAATCTCTTCTGGTCAGACTCCACATCTAGAGCAGATTACCATTTTTTTTGGGATGTCTTGGCGTTCGATGCATGCTACAAGCGCAACAAGTACAATCAACCATTTGTTATGATGGTTGGTGTAAATCACCACCATCGTAACATCATATATGGTTTTGCCCAGTTGGATAACGAGACAATCCCCAGCTATGTTTGGTTGTTGAATACTTTTACGGAGTGTATGAACTCTAAGATGCCGACTTCAGTGATCACAGACGAATGCAAGTCAATGTGTGGCGCCATTGCTACTGTTTTGGTTGGAGTGCCTCACGTCTGTGCATTTGGAATATTGAGACAAATGCGACAACGACCGTTCATAATAGAGAGTTCGTTAACACATTCACATACTTGGTGAAAGCACATATATTGATTGAGGAGTTTGGGAGGCGTTGCGAGCATTCGATTAGTGAGCATGGTTTTTCTGCAAATAAGTGGTTGCAGTATTTGCACGCTGACAAATTACTGTGGGCAGAGGCATACTTGAAGGATATTTATTTCGGTGGACTCCAATCAACCTCGCGATGTGAATCATGTAACCATTGGATAAATGGGTATGTGGGAACTTAATACAACTTGCAACGTTTTGTTCAGGGCATTGATGAAGCACTGGAGGGGATGCGTTTCACGGAGGTGCAGGATGATTATTCTTCTAGGCACACGAGGCTGGTCTGCAAGCATGCCCTTCGCACATGGGAAATACAAGCTGGAAGTATCTACACACATCGTACATTTGCTATCTTCAAGTCTGAACTAGAGAATGAAGCTTCTTATGTATTAGCGGAGAAAAGAACCGAATCAGATGTGACAGAGACATTCATTCTGAAGAACCCCATGAACCCGGATCGAATAAGGAGGTTAACATTTGCTACGACCAATCAAGATCTAAAATGTGAGTGTGCATTATTTGAATCTAAGGGGTTTCCATGCAGACATATGCTTACAGTAATAAAAAAATATGGGATACACCGCACTACCCTCCACGTGGTTCGAGCTTCGATGGACCCAAAATGCGAAGACACTAAATCGTCATCCTGGAGTTGGAGGTGATGTGGGAGAGAAAATTGGTCGACTGATAAGACATGGAGGATTGTCTCTAAAGTGTAAGCGTTTGAGTGACATCGCGTGTGGTAGTGAAACTGCTTTTAATCATGTCTCTAAGTCGTTGGATGACCTTACTCAATGGGCAATTGAGTTCTCGAGGGAGAGAACGGATAACACTGCACCTGCAAACCCTCCAGCACCACTTTGAAGTGTGAAAGATCCAAAAATTGGGAATACCAAGGGGACATTCAAGTCAGCACGAAGTGCATCGGGCAAAAGCGTAAGAAAATTTCGAAATGTGGGAAATATGGTCATTATCGCCCTAAGTGCCCCAAAAAAGTCCCAAAAAAAAAATCTTAATTTTCTATTGTTTTTTAGGAATTTATTTTTTCGTAATCGTTGGCCAACCATTTTTCTTGAAAGTTCCCTTTTTTCCCTTTAAAACTAAACTTTTGAAAACCCGGATCGTCACTCCGTATTCCTTGGAGACCAAGAAACAGAGGAATGTCGGCTCTGATACCAAAATGAAACGACCCGATCCTTTTTGAAAACTAAACCATAACTCAAACCACAAACCACTAGGACCACCGCGTTACGTCTCGCCGTCCGGTGCACTACCCTAGTATGCCAACCGCGTTACGTCTCGCCGTCCGGTTGCATACCCAAACTCGGCAATGGCACTGCGTTACGTCTCGCCGTCTAGTCCATGCCCATCAACTATTGCGTTACGTCTCGCCGTCCAATAGTGACCCAACCGCCCGGGGGTTCATCTTACCATCAACCAACTATTATAATCATACATCCATACATTCATACATAGCACAACGCGTGCCTCCGCTCTTACAGGCGGTGGGATGCCTCACACATATATCATTCATTACTCAAAAATTAACTAATTAATAACTTGAACGAAAAGCATAAACTAAGAGACCTACGACAGAGATTTTACCCCCTTTACACTCACCTCGAAAAGATGACTCCTCAATTCCTTCTTCGACGAAACTCCCTCCTTAGCCAGATTATCTTGGGGAAACCTCTAAAACATGCCTAGAACTCGACTGGATGGCCTGGGACGTTGATCAGATGATCTCCTCGTTGATCGATGATCGAACCCTCAAACGTTATCGCTAGAAACACGAAAAGGATGGGATCGGGGTCGGACACAGGTGGTGGCGGGCTTCTCGATTTTTTTCTCGGACGCGCTAGGGAGAGTGCTGGCGGCGGGTGTTGCTCCCTGGAGGAGAGGAGTTCTTCTCTGGGGAAATAATTTGGGGATGGGGAATTTTTGGTTTACGCTGGGGGAGTGGGGATTAGTTGGTGGAGTGGGCCGCTCGGCCCGAACAAAATGTATTTTTTTATAATATAAGAATAATATAATAATAATAGTTATTATTATTCTTCTTAATCCGCGGTTGTAACTCTTAGTACGTAACTGTTAAATTGACTGCTCATTAAATATGGTCGAACGCAAATCTAAAATACCACGGTGTTACAGGACTTACAACGCTGGATTTTTTTTACAAGTATGGTTGTAGCCATAACATTGATATTATAATATTTGCATGTACCTATTGGCTACTATGGAAGAATCAATATCACGTGTTTCAAGGTGAAATTAAGTCCTTTGTGACTCGTCTGGAATATCACAATAAAAATCCCAATTAAGACCCAAGTATAAACCTCAATTGGGTAAAATATAGGGAAAGTATGTTTAAATGTCAACCCGGTCAGTTTATGTACCCCTACTTCGATTGTTTGTAACATTATCTAGTGATTGATTTTTGGTGAAAACAACGATCTATAGCTAAAATGTTTGGAAAAGTAAATGGATTTGACACTAATTGAGAAGGCTTCTCCCGGGTGTTGCTCCCCCTAGCTAACAATTATGACTTGTAGGTTCGAATGATCACGTGTGATAAAGTTGTTGTAAAACGTAAGGAAGTGCAACAAGTTGCCAAACGCCATTCTCTCGGTCTCTAGGTCAAGGGAATTTGATTAAAGCCACCAAAGTAGCTCTTTTGACCTATTGACTAAGGGTTGCAAGGACTTCACCCTCGAATCGGAGTTTGGACGACCAAATTACAACGAACCGTAGGTGCTAATACTAACAAAGAGGGTTGCCCTACATTAACCTAGACAGGAGACAATGATTTGCCTAAGAAAAACCAGCTTTACAAGTCTCTTTCAAAGAAAGGGATTTTCTCTCTTCCTAGGTTAGAATGACAAATAGATTGATAGGCAAACACACAACACAATCTTTCATGAAAATATCTCCAAATTCACATTAAAACACATCCACACACAAATCATTCAATCTATACAAACATTCACATAATTCTAGCTAGGGTTTACAAACACCCAAGTGAAATAAGGGACTACTCCATGCTAGGAGAAGGGAAAACACAAGAGAGAAGGAAAACTATCATGGAGATGCTAGCCTTGCTCCTTGTGTTGAAGAGATCCTCCTTTGGGGAAGGAATTCCCAAATCCTTGCTTGAAGATGATACCCTAGTTTCTTCTCTTCTTTGTTTCGTCACTTTCTCACTCTAGAAATCTGAAGAAGAAGAAGTTTCTCACACTAGGTCTCTCTCTTTTCTCCTCCAGCTAGGGGTGTCCATTCGGGTTCGTTTTTTCGTGTTTACCCGAAACCGACCCGATTATATATATTTTCGTTTTTTTAGTTCGGGTTCATTTCAGGTTTCGGGTTTTTCGATTTTGGGTTCGATTTTGCTTATCGGTTTTTTGGGTTCCGGCTGAAAACCTCCAATGAATAGAATGCAGCCCGTATTCTTAAGCGTTTGAGTTTTTGGGTTTCATTTTTGCTTTAACCGAACCCGAACTCGATAAGGAATTTTTTGGGTTTCGGGTAACCGGAACCAACAAGTCCTTATCGAGTTCGGGTTTAGTGATTTTTTGGGTTTCGGTTCGGGTAACCAACCCTGACCCGAACTGACACCCCTACCTCCAGCTCAAGCCTCCTTTTATACCCAGATCGGGCTCAGATCACGGTCCCAGTTCACAGCCATGAATTGAAAGCACGGACCGTGATCTCAAGTCAAAACGCGTCGCATCACTTAATCGAGTTCACGGGCAATGGCCTGAGTTCACGGTCTTATGACGATGAATTGACTTGAGTCTAGTGAAAGCAAAAATGTCATAGGATGCCTGGCGGTTCACGGCTAGCGGCTCCAGTTCACGGTCTTAGTGATCATGAACTCACAGCTTTTCCACCGTGATCTGCTGCTGCTCTTTCCACCCTTTGACCTGATTTTTCGCCCTTTCGTCCAACTTTCGACTCCGGGGGTTGGTTCACCTGCTATAAACTGAAATGCACAAAATCGAGACAAAATCCAGCATAAAACCAAACCTCCCAGAGTAAAAAATGACTCAAACGATGAAGGAAATCGGGGGTAAAAAGTGTACAATTGAGACTGAATCACTTTGCACAAGTCCACTTTCATAACAAGCAGCTTAAAGCCTTTGAGAAGAAGAGTAGAGTACCAAAGTTAGAGAATGACGATTGATATGCTACACACCAACGTAGTAGGGTTGCAATACCTCAACAGAAATGGACCAGTCATTCACTCTCCAGTCTCCATCTAGCATGATAGTTGGAAGCATTGTGAGGACTGAGGAGAACACCATCCTTTGTATAAGAGCTTGTTATGTGAGCCTTGGATGAGGTTTCATTACTAATGCAGAACTGGTCGAAATTGTGCCTGGAGTAAAGGATTACCTAAGAACTATGGGTTAGGAAAGTTATTCTCCAATCAATACTGATCATGGCCATACACCTGATTGAACCTACTACACTATACCATCCACACTTTTTAAGTCATTGCATATTCAACGACTTTTGGGCTAGGGGCTGATAGATTAGTGTAAAACACGTTTATAGAATGGCTAATTTTGTGACATATTATATAGCTTCGCTAGCCATATAGCCCATTGAAGAAATTTTTTTTTATCACCTTTTAATTATCTTGGTTACTGATTTTAATCCTCTCAATTTTATTAATACATAAAAGTTGAAATGCAAATAAACCATATATTTCTTACAACATCAAAATCCAACAAAGAAAGAAAAAAATTTCCCCCGATCCACAGTCACTCAAATCCATTGCCACTGATTTTATTGTCCAAATTCTAAGAATTTTAGCCTAACTTAAATTTTCATTCATCAACCCGTAAGAGTCGGTGGTTTCACACCTCCGCCGCCCCAACTCCTTACTCCATGAAATTGTCCGTATTGCGCCATTAGGCGGAATCATGTTTTTACTGACAAAGAGCTACGACAAAACTCCGATTTTACCTTGCGCTTGAACAAATTCAGAATTCATTTTGAAGACGCCTCTGTACCTCTGCTCCGGCGCCGGCGGGCAGTGTCAATTTAACTAATAACGGAATCAAACGATTCCAGAGGCCGCACAGTAAAAACCAAACGAAGAAAACACGGAGACCCTCGCTCAGCTCAGCTCGGCTCCATCTCAGCTGCACCACGCCGTCCATCCACGCGGTGACTAACAACTAGCTTTTCCAAAAGGGAAAAATCAAAAAAGAGCCTCTCTTCTTCTGTCCTCTGTCGTCTTCTCCTCATATGGAAAATGGAAAAAACCCCAGCGTCTTCTTTACTTTAATCCTCATAAATTATCAGAGGAAGACTTGGGTTGGGTCTTGGTTGGGCTGGGGTAATCACTCATAATCATTGAATTAGCTCCGTTACTTTTTCTCTCCATTGAAGCAGCCGCGCCACAAACGGGGTGGGGGAAGGCACCTTTTCACTCTCTCTCTCTCTCTCTCTTCATCTCTCGCTCTCAGGAAGGGAGCGACAATGGCCATTCGACTGCGACTTCTTCATTAGTCTCTCTCTCTTGCCGAAGCTAATAAGTTTGTTTAGTCAAGGGAAGACCAACCCCTTTTGAGATTTGTCTCTCCCATCCCAAGGATATTACTGGGTCAATCTTAATTCCGCGGCTGCTCTGCTCCAGGGAGAAAAGAAAGATCTGGGGAAAAGGGAAGATATGGAGGAAGAGAAGAAGAGCAAGGAAGAGGCTCCCCGGCTGCTGGTTCAGAGCCTGATCGATATGGTGAACGAGATAGCTTCCATCTCGGATTACAGGTGCTCGGTGAAGAAGCAGTACTGCAACCTAGCTCGGAGGTTGAAGCTCTTGACCCCAATGTTCGAAGAAATTCGGGAGAGCAAAGAGGCGATCCCCGAGGAGACTCTGGATTCTCTGGCGTCTTTGCAGGTTGCTCTCGGTTCAGCCAAGGAATTGCTCAGATTCGGGAGCGAAGGCAGCAAGATTTATCTGGTACCCTACTGCCCTTTTGTGGAGTTCCCCACTTTTGTGATTGTGAATCCTGCTTCTTTGCTTTCCCCTGTTTCAACTTTTGGGGCCATTTTTTTTTCTCTGGGGTTTGGATCTGTTTGGATACTGAGAAAAGCCTGTAGCTAAGTGGATGGATATAAGTGGCAAAGTTTTTCTTTTTAGGAATTAGAACGATCGAAGCAATTTTTTTAGGATAAGCATCTGGTTCCTCAATTTCCGCCCTTTGGTTATCTTTTGTGATTTCTCTGCGAATTCCTTCAGTTAAGATTGACTCCGTCTTTTCTCCCCTTCTTCGTCTTCTTCAACTAACATATGGGCTTCCATGATTTACTTTTGGTTCCATGTCATATTCAGATCAGTTAGCATTAGCAAGCAAGTAGAACCGAATATTGGGTAACACTTACTCAACATGCTTTTTCTCCATTGTGCTCGCTGTTTTTCCTTTTTGTTTGCCTCAAAATGTATTTAGTTTTGGTTTCATGGCTGTCCCTTTCATATATCAAGTTTTGGAACTAGATTCCTTCCAGCAATGTTATAAATCATCGCCGATCCCCTCCTCTCCCCTTTTTTCTTTTCTGTCTCCATTATTGTTATTGTTTGTTGGTTGCCATCGCTGATGTGTTGTTGGTTGCAATGTCCTTGTCCTTCTGATGCATTTTTGTTCCTTGCGCTGTGCTTGACATCTTAAGCCTTTTATATTCCTCCCCTTTGTCCTTCTTTTCTTCCTTCCGGCATTTTAACGTGACAGGTTCTGATCTTATCCTTAGTTAGCTGCTTAATATCTGTGAAAGTTGAAAGTACCCCTTTTCCATTAGCAGTGTTGGTTCGTGCTTCTTGTTATTGGATATCTAGATTGTTATGCTTGACCATTTGTGCATTTTGGTGGGCATGTCTATGAACTAACCATATTCTGTATCAACCCATTGCTAATCTAGTCATAGGTCAATGTTGCAATCTCTACTGCTATCTCTGGACATGAATAAACCAAAGTGAATTTGTCTTGACTCATGAATGTCAAATGTCTCCTTTGATTAAGTTTCTCTTCACCATGTAAACTAATATCCACTGCTGGGGTCATCTGACTTAATTCTGTTGATCTGTGATATTCAACTGTATCTGAAAGGATAGTTTCTACTCTACCTTGCAGGTATTGGAGAGAGAGGACATAGTCGTCAAGTATCATGAGTTGACATTTCAGTTGGAAGAAGCTCTAAGTGGAATCGCTTTGGAAAAACTTGACATATCAGATGAAGTTAAAGAACAGGTAGGAGATTCAACAAACTATCACATTTGGTCTTAGCATGTATGTTTTAGTTCATGTGTGTGGCATTTCACTGAAACTATGTAGTTGATATAATCACCATTAACATTAGGCTTTCTTCCGAGGTCAGTTTATTTGAGAAAATCCTTTTCCACCCAGCCTTACTTATAGGTCTAGCATTGTGCACTAATGCTAATGCGATATTGTACATCGGTATCAGATGATATATGATTTGATATGTTGGTGGATTTCTGATCTCTGGTTGCCAAAATACCCCTTGATTGCATGTTCTGTCTCTTTGTTCAGGTTGAGCTCGTCCTTTCCCAGTTCAGGAGAGCCAAAGGGAAATTCGAATTCCCTGATACGGGCCTCTATATCGATATTGTTAAGCTTCATGAAGAAACTTTTGATGCATCAGAAGTTCCTGCTCTTCTACGGAGATTGTCCGAGAAGCTACAACTAACTGGGATTGATGAGCTTACTCAAGAGTCACTTGCTTTGCATGAGATGGTTTCTGCTACAGGTGGAGACCCCGAGGAGAAAATAGAGAAGATGTCGATGCTACTTAAAAAGATCAAGGATTTTGTTCAAACTGAGAATCCCAACATGGATGCTCCTGGGGGAAAAGGTGCTCCTCCCAGTGGCAGTGGACAAGCTTCAACCGACGAAAATCACAAAGTTCTAGTGATACCAGATGATTTCCGCTGTCCTATATCTCTAGAATTGATGAAGGATCCCGTCATTGTATCAACAGGGCAGGTATATGAGTTCTACAAACTTATTTTCTATGGCATTTCAAATTTCCATTTTTAATCATGTAGGAGTTCAATGTTGTTTCACACTGCAATGTGGTTGCAACTTGCAATGACCTGCATCCCTTATCAAAACGAGAGTATAAAAAAGTCTTTCTCAGTCTCTTCTGGACCCTTTTTATCTGATTTCTAACTGTTGATGGAACTCATGATCCTTGCTCTCAATTGGCTCAAAGTAGAGACTAAACTTTGTTATCTCCCTCTCTGTCACTTCTAATCATCGTTTCATTTCTCTGATGCAGACCTACGAACGAACCTGCATTGAGAAATGGCTGGAAACACATGGAACATGTCCAAAGACGCAGCAATCTCTTGCTGGTACCACGCTCACCCCCAACTATGTCCTACGAAGCCTCATTGCCCAGTGGTGCGAAGCAAATGGAATCGAACCACCAAAACGACCAAGCAGTTCTAGAACCAGCAAAGTGACGTCTTCCTTCTCCCCTGCTGAACGTACAAAGATCGAAATACTCCTCCAAAAGCTCACGTCTGGAACTCCTGAGGATCAGCGTTCCGCTGCAGGCGAGGTCCGCCTTCTCGCCAAACGTAATGCCGACAACCGTGTTGCTATTGCTGAAGCTGGTGCAATTCCTCTCCTAGTTAGCCTCCTCTCAACGCCCGACTCTCGCACCCAAGAACATGCTGTGACGGCTCTGCTTAACCTCTCCATATGCGAGGACAACAAAGGCAGCATCATATCGGCTGGAGCAGTTCCTGGTATAGTAAATGTGCTGAAAAAGGGTAGCATGGAAGCCCGGGAGAATGCTGCTGCTACCCTTTTCAGCCTTTCAGTCATCGATGAAAATAAGGTCATAATTGGTGCTTCTGGAGCTATTCCCCCACTGGTGATGCTTCTGAGTGAAGGCACCCAGAGAGGGAAAAAAGATGCTGCAACTGCACTGTTCAACTTGTGTATTTATCAGGGGAACAAGGGGAAGGCGGTCAGGGCTGGGGTGATCCCCACACTGATGTGTTTGCTTACCGAGCCAGGTGGTGGGATGGTTGATGAAGCTCTGGCAATACTAGCGATATTGGCTAGCCACCCTGATGGTAAGGCTGCCATTGGTGCTGCTGAGGCTGTACCTGTTTTGGTTGAAGTTATTGGAAGTGGATCTCCAAGGAACAGAGAAAATTCAGCTGCTGTTTTGGTGCATCTTTGTTCCGGAGATCAGAAATATATGGCTGAGGCACGAGAGCTCGGAGTGATGGCACCACTTTTAGATTTGGCGCACAATGGGACCGAACGAGGAAAGCGAAAGGCTCAGCAGCTGCTTGACCGTATTACTAGGCTCATTGAACAGCAGAAGCAGGCCGAAGGCCAGTCAGATGCTCAACATCAACCAAACGGGCCATCATCCGCTGTCATGAATCCTGCAGATAGCTAACAAAAATTTTCGAGCTTCTGTGTTTGCTTTGATTTTGTGGTTCCGGTTAAATATAAATATAAATATATGTCGATACACCCAGAGGCCGACTTCTTCTAATTTGAGAGGGAAAGGTGGAAGATCACCTGATCCCGCCCATCTATAAGCGCTATTTATTTTGAAGGCGAGTGATGGCAGCTGCAAACTTGCATGGTGAAAAAGGTATGCTACACAGTTAAGAGAACGGTGCAAGGGCAGGAAACAGAAGGGGCAGAGAATACGGAGACGGGGTTTCACATATAAAATGTGTCTGAAGTGCTGCACCATTGTTGTAACATGTAATCATCCTCTCAACATTTTTTTCTTCATAGAAGAGATGTGTTTCTGCTTTTGGGTGTATTTTTCGTCGCCGCGAAAGACCAATGTAAGTTATCATCGTGATGTTGTATATCTGCTGCTGCAAGTGCTCAAAGAGTTGTTCAGGCGACCTTGTTTAACTGTCTGATTTGTCTTTGAATGTCCTTACCTTGTTTCTGCCTGTAGGCTCCCCTCAAGTGAAGCTTAGGAGAGGTGAATGGTGATTAGAGTGGTGGATTCATGACATAGTACAATATTGGCCGTTCGAATAAAAAATTAGATACAGTACTAGATTAAATGAGATGGAGAGGACTAGAAGTAAGTAGGTCTCGTTTGCTAATTAACTTTTAGGTCCTGTTTACTTTCATTTCTGTTTCCTGCTTTTGAGAAAATATATGTTGAAAACAGGTGAAAACGACATTTTTTCGTTTTCGAAAACAGCAGGAAGTTGCCACTTTCTGTTTTCAGAGTTGAAAACGAATAGAAAACAGAATGAAAAGTAAACATGTTTTCTCGTTTCGTTTGCCAAATTTATGACATGAAAACAGAAAACAGGAAACGAAAATAGAAGTGAACAGGGTTAACTTATCAGTCGTGGAAACGAAAGTCAATTGCTTGAGAGGTGACGGATGATTAGCTTTAATTAGAAAGATGCGCAGAAACAAAAAGAAGAATACGTTGGAGATAAGTCTGCAGATAATTGAAATGATATAGCGGACAAGGAAGATGACGGAGTAGGCGCTTCCTCTTGCCGGCTCCTTTTTATCGGTTGGTTGGGCTGACCAAAACCAACGGCCCCACACCGCATACATTCACAAGCCCAATCCGCTCCACAAAAGATGACGACGAAAGGAAAAGAATACTATGATGATGTGGGCCAACAATATGCACAACAGCAGCACGTTGGAGAAAACAGATTTTATAGTAAAATATACTACGATGGAAATTATTTTATTTGTATTTTTATCATGTATAATCTGTTTTCCATTATTAAGTTACATATAAAATCGTGAATTAAAATTTATGTGTCTTTTGTCCAACAATAAAAATCGACATACATCTTATAGTCTACCCTATATTTTATCAAATGTGTATTTGAATATTAAAATTTTTCAAAACGAAAGCCTATAATCACACTACAAAAAAACAGGGCTATGACAAGGGTTTTTTTGACCTATAGCAAGGGTTATAACCCCTGCTACAAGTTGTAGCAAGGGTTTTCCCAACCCCTGGACGAACCCTCACCAATGCTGCCCTTGCTACACGTAGCAAGGGTTTTTAGCAACCCATGGTGGAAGTCCCCTCCAAGGGTTGTAGCAGGGGTTTTAACTCCTGCTACATATACCAAGGGTTACAACCCTTGCTACACTGAAATGTAAAACCCAATAGAAATATGTCTGTATCATGGGTTTGAACCCTTGGAAAATTTGTTGCTAAAAGGGTTCAAACCCTTGCTTAACTCGTGACTAATTAATTTTGCAACGAGCTTATTATGGTCACTAAAGAGAGACCTGTAAGAATTCAAATTGTTGCCAACACTAGCAAGGGTTAAAACCCTTGCTTTATTCGCGACTAATTGATTTGCAACCAACTCAGTATGGTCACTAAGAAGACCCTAACACTGGATTCTAAGTTGGTTACAAATACTCTGGTTACTATAGGAAAACTTACAACCAAACTTGTTGCTGGCAAACTTTTGTATATATATTACATCATTCATACCATGATTCATGATTCAATATAATATTGTTTACATAGCTAAATGTTAATTACCATAAATATCAAAGAATCATCCAAAGAAACATAGTAGCAGTAAAAGAACCTAATGATCTACTCTTCAAAGCCAAAAGAAAATACCCATGAGATATCTTCCCTCTTTTACAAGTTCTGGACAGAAGCTCTATGCGCTTCCTCACCTGATACCTGGAGCTCTTTATGAAATTCATAATCACACCCTCCATTCCCTGAGATACATTAGGAGCATCTAACATGAGACAACTTAAAGCTTAAAGTATTATTTAGTACATCAAACTGCAACTAGAAATTGAATTGGTTCCAAGAAATATAAAAGGAAGACTACTCATCAAAAACAGATACCTGAGAGCATTCTTAATGTACTCAAAAGCTCCACTTGCTCGAGCTGCACAAAGAACCGGCTATGTAAATAATTTGCAATACAAACTTTGAGAATGATGTTGCACTCAGGCTACAATACACATTTCTATAACCCGATTCAAGAAAATGAGACCAAACTGATACCCTTTTGCTTATGTGATAAATCAGACAACAATTGGTTCGAATTTCTCACCCATACTACCACCTTTCTGTTTCTGGGACCGGATGTACCGGAGTGTGCTGGCGAAGAAAGCATCGGAAGCTGGATCTGCAACACAAAGTTACTTTGCATCTCGTCGGTTATTAGTTCAACCAGATCCTGGATCATATTGATTGTAATCTGCAGATTGCCCTTCTCGAAAAAGTAGAGGTACCTGCAGCAACACAGGAAAGATTAGCCTGACCAACGACGATGTCAACTCCAAAGCTGGGGTCAAGGCTGCATTTGCGATCCTCAAGCCCCGCTTTAGGCACAACATGACTTTGAGATTACAAATTACGAGCCAAACAGAGTTAGAGTTGTTCAGTTGAATATTAAGTCGGATGAAAATACAGATTCTGAAAAGGACCTCTCTCCATCCTTGATTCCAGGCCTGGTCATCAACCCAAAAGAGGTGGGATCAGGCGTAAACTGCTCGGCATTGGTCAGGCTTCTTCAAAAGCTTTGCAGAATACTTGCAAAAAGAAAGAAGAGCCAAGTTATTCACGGGGTTTGTTAGTATAATAAAGGGAACAAGTTACTGAGAAGGAAAGCGTTGATGGTTCTTACTCCGGTGGCCTTGTGAGTTAATGTATCCATGTTCTCAATTCCGAATACTAGCATCCTCTGGAGAGTTCCAACAATTAGATGTATAGCAGTCACCTGAGCCTTCGAATCCTGATTTGCAAGAGAAAAAAAGATTTTCAGCGGTAAGGGGATTAAGGAACCAATCTCAATGAATTCTTAATTCAGAGAATTAAGTTGAAGGAACTGATCAAGAGAGTAATTGATTACCGCAATTGCTCGAGCTCACAGTCATTAGCTGCCTGATTATAACAAAAAATTTACATAAATAAGAAACCAGGAAGAAATGGAGTGAACAACGCGTTCATCTATAAATTTTCCACTAATGATTACAACATCTGATAAATCACATGTCAAAAGAATTACCTGATTCAAGAGCTGGAAAATAGCCTTTGGTTTGCAGGCACTTCCTCTCCCACTACATCTCCATCCTGAGCTTGCAAGCATCTAATAAGCTGTTCCACTTACATAATTTTAAACAATCAGATGCAAGACACAAAGTCTTGCACCTGATAAATTGAAAGAATAGCCTCCACATCATCAATAATCTACAAAAGAGATTAATTATCAAGGTTCAAAAATGTCAAACAAGTAGCATAGACTGCATAACGATTAGCGATACAACATGCATAATCTGAATACTGTACTTAACCGTTTAGAGTTCAACAAACAGAAGTGAAATGCCGATGAATGATGACTAGAAACCAAAACCTCATCTGACTTATAATGTTGGCCAATATAAACCATCTGCTCAACAGGCTTGCAACTAACATCATTATCCATTGCAATTTGCAAGTCTACCCACAAATGATGCAATTAGCGACAAGCTATTAGCCAGGCATCTACTTTAAGTATTTATAAGTATTTATAAGTATCATATCTTAACCATTTGTAGAAACCAGTTCCATTCAACACCAAAGTACTTATAAGTATTTATAAATTATTAAATTTACAACTTTAATCTGAAACTTGATCATGACCTCTTAAGAACAAACAGAAAACGGGCAATCTTAAACCAATTAATCACCCCAATACAAGAGCTGAAACACTTACCAAGGTTCAAAAGGGAAATGCTGGAGTATTTGTTCTGTTCTAGTCAAGCACCGAATTTGAGTAGTTCTCAGCCACAACTAATCAACAAAATTCATCCATATATACTTGATATTAAGCGTCAATCTATCACCCCTGCATGAATATATAAGACAAAAGGCTGTGTTATGAAGAATAAAACGAAGGTAGAAGACAAGGACAATTACTCTTCCCCAGATAACAACTTCAACATTTCAAATTCAATACCGCTAGGAAGAATTTGAGACCACTATCAATTGATGACCCCAATTCATTAGTCACACAAAGTATCAGCACTCTCATACCTTTCCAACAACAACAATACAAATTTAGAAACGAATTAAGGAGAATTACTCCATTTTCTCCTAACACCATTAGATCCGCAGCAAGTAATTAGGAACGAGCCAAAAGCATAACAACAATTGAACCAAGAACTAGATAAAGTAAAGCGAATCTAAAAGGGAAAACATCAAACAAACGAGAAAAGAACTTGGAATTCAAATTCAAGCTGCTGAATCTAACATCCGTCTTGCCAACTTCATCGCTCCTACTTCCTAGCGATGGAGACAAAGTAGCAAGCGAAGAAACCAACACTTATGAATCATCATACAGAGAGGCAGAGAGCTCACGCGCGCTCGAGACAGAGAGAGACAGAGAGCGAGAGACAGAGAGTGCGAGAGAGTGAGAAAGAACCGTATCATAGAGTCGAAGAATCAGAGAATTTCCACCGCCTTTCGCCGGATCGAGAGAGAGCGATGGGAGAATTGCCACTGATTCCACGGGAGTGAGCGAGCGTCACCGGATCGAGGGAGAGAGAGGTCGGAGAATCGCCACTGATTCCACGGGAGTGAGCGAGAGAGAGAGAGAGAGAGAGAGAGAGAGAGAGAGAGAGAGAGAGAGAGAGAGAGAGAGAGAGAGAGAGAGAGAGAATTTTGTTTTAATTTGGCGGAGGAGCTGAAAATTGGGGCTTTTATTCGATAGAGAGGTGACGAGTAGTTTGTTGTTGCGGTGGAGGGTTTCCCGATTTGTGGAGATATTAGTTAAATTAATAGCAGGGGTTTATGAACCCCTGAAACAAACCCTTGAGACAGTAAGTTCCGAAAAAACTAGCAGGGGTTTAATGCACCCTTGGTACATAACCCTCGGCAAAACTCTCTTTTTTTGTAGTGATCAGTTCACCTCGCTTGAATTCTTCAGTTTTGGATAATTTTCTTACACTATTAATACAAGCAATAAATTCTCCTAAATGGCCAAACATGTAAAAAACTACTACAAAAGTAAATGTGCATATTTAGTAGCATACAAATCATGAAAGGATATCATACAGCGTTTTAGAACAACATAATAAATACCTGAATGATAAATAAATATGAGATATCAAATTCACAATAAACAGCAAGTTATAAATGAAATACAATATAAAATGAAGACATAACAACCGTGGGTATCGAACTCAGCACTCTCTTCGCCCCTGCTTGTTATATTGATCGACGATTGAGTTATGTGAAACCGTATTATACTGATATATCATCAGTTGGACCGTTATATGGTTATTGTCGAGCCGGTTTGACAAGTGATATATTCCAACTAGTGGTATAATTAGTTATAGAGTATATGGTAAGTGATCTAGTCGTTAGATGTACTTCGATGAGCTCCAATCAATCTCAACGGTCAATTATTGCTTTCTATTAAATTAAAATTCGAAATTGGGTTTAGAGAATTGGGGCATGGAGTTCATCCATTAGAGGTTAGAGTATAGTATCGTAACCTAATCTCGGTTTTATTCATGGTGTAGATAGAGATATCTCATTAGAAGTATCTGGAGTATAGTATACTCTAGGAGTACACCAGTCTTACCCATATATTTGTTGATTTTTATAATTGGATTTTACTGAAGGGATTTGAACCTGAAACCTCTAAGTTCAAGACTAGTGATATTACCACTAAGTCAAGACCTTGTTCACAGCTTTTTTAATAAGCTTGTAGAATATTTTATGAGGTTTTTGGTATGCTTTAAGAAACTTTTGGTATGTTTTATGAGATTTCTAGTATGGTTTAAGAAATTTATGGTTTTCTTTATGAGGATTTTGGTTTGATTTATGAGCTTTCTTATATGCTTCGTGGAACTTGTGATATGATTTATTAGGTTCCTAATCTGGTTAAGAATCTTGTGGCCTGCTTTGATTTTTCTTGTATGTTCTATGATTTTTTTGGTGTGGTGAGCATCTGGTCTACTTGGTGTAGTTTGTTGTATTTCTGGTTTGTGTTTTGTGGTATGCTTCATTATAGTTGTGGTGAGGCGGGGCACAAAACAAATGAGAAGTGCCACACGCACGTGACCAATGTAGTCAAAATCGTGCTATAAACCTTATATTTTTACGCTTCTAGTTTCTAAAACCCTTTTTCGTAAAATCGCGCTTTTGACTACATTGTGCGTGGCCCCTTAATTTTCAAAAATGACAAGGGTGCCCCTCCTTTTATAAATCAACATAAATTGTGGTCCATCTTATATGAAAAAAGTTTGAATTTTTTTTATTTGTTAAACTAGTATCAGAACTATACTAATGGGTTATTAGTACCTTAACCCTATCTCTATTGAAAGATATATAAAATATAGATGTTATTGCCATTCCCTTGTAAATTCACCCCAATTAAAGTGTGTTATGCGTTGTTGGCAAAGCAGCAACTTATTATGAGTGCCTTGGTCATCGCAAAAGCTTGAAAAGAAAAAGGAGACCGACATGCAAATTAAAGAAAAAAATGTGCATTGACTATAATAATTCATATACATTATATGTGTGATTGATTCCTCTTTGCGTCTGCCTCTTCAACAATGCGCAGTGCACTATTACTACTATATCATAAATTTATTAATCATAATACATCTATTTAACAATCACAACTTTTAAACCGCAAACTCTTAAGAGGAGGGGCAGGAATCGTAGCTTATTGAGGCAAAAGTTTGGCAAAGGAAAAAGGGTTACGATAGGCTAGGGTAGGTGGGGGTTCACTTGTCTTCTCTTTTGACCGAGCCGAGACCGCCAAAGTGTAAAGTTCGGATGTTTTTCGAATTGAACTTACTTCTATTTCTGATCATTGTTTTGCTTCCAACAAATTCTAGAAGTGTTTTCCGTGGCTACTTTCACTTTGGGTTTGGGTGGAAAAACGTTGCAACAATGAAAAGAAATATACACATAGAATAATGATGAATAATTATTATAAAAAAAATATTTGCATGGTAGTGAGGGAGATTCTTGGCGTTTTGTTATATGGGCTGTTGATTGATGATCCATCATGCACGTCTTTCATTATTGTATGTTTATATATTATATGGATCGATGTAGACAAGCACCAAAACACACAACCCTAGCAAGCTACTATCAATTAGGTACGTTTGTTTGCATTATGTCTTCCAAACATGGACTAACGCCAATCTTACAAATTCAATTAGATTAGAAAGATGTGAGATCGTAAGTATTCGCTTGAAGTTACCATATTGACATGATAATCCGTTTAAAAGATTTCTTTTAATAATTTTTCAGTAATAATTTTCTCCACTTTTGGAAGGCCTATGCTATAAGTTAACTTATATACCCTATATAAACTTAGCAACGTGATTAAAATCGAATGCTTTTAAGTTCATCAGTTGAAATGATTTTGTTTAGATGCTTCAACAAGCAAATACTCTAATAAACAGAATGGAGTGAGACTAAAAGTAGACTAGTATATGTCCGCTCGTTACCGCTTCGCATGTTAGCAAAAGCATAATATTTTGAAAAGTAACAAGTTGAATGTTGACGGAAAGTGAAAGGGTAGTATGTTGTTTGGGATGATATATAGTGATTAGTTTAATGGAAGAGGATTGAAATTGTTCTAAATGTTACAGTATTTTTTTTAAGTGCAATAGATTGTTCAGATATTGGGAAGACGGAATTAACAATGTCGAAAAATTTGGTAGCGGTCGTGGGAAATGGTGGAGGAGGACAATTTAGAATTCCGCCAACGGTGATTCGAGATGGTTGTGAATTGGTGGGTGAAGGCAAGATTGGACAGAGCAGCTCTAATATGGATCTTCAGAAGCGGGCGTGACAAACGGTTAAGGAGGACAATTTAAGATACTGTCGACAGTGTTTTGAGATGAGCCGCGAATTAGTGGGTGAATCAGTAGGCAATAGATGAAACTCAGTGGATAGTACCCGCCACTGAGAAATTAGTGAACAATAAATAAAAATCTAGTGGACAATAACCGCATGAGAAACTCGGAGGACAATAGCAGCTGAACATAGTGGTTCTGGAATGAGAGAATAATAAGTTAAAAAAGGGTCTTCCAAATTTGAGGAGTTTGAAAGGTGGGTATGTGACTTATCAAAAACAAACATATGGAAATTCATCACTTGCGGGCTGCGGCAATGAAATTTGAGAATCACTAATGAATAGTAACACCAATTTTAAAATTGTATATATTATAATTAATTAAAAATAATTTTTTATCTATGTTTTCCATCGCATTTTGTGATCAAAGTTGAGGATCCTAGCTAGCTAGCTACAACAGTGACAGTCATACCAACAAAAACACAACAAAGAAAGAGGTTAAAACACTAGATCTTTTTGATGAACAAAGACTACAATATTATAATACAATCCATCTGTTTTAATTTGTTGCACTTTCCAGTTAGTCCAAAGCCAAGAATCGAAAGGATTCAATATTCATTCAAAAGCTTGACACGACAAATCATGAGTCAGAGAGTAAGGAACCACAGCAAAAGAGTACAAACCCCCCCTCCACTCCCCTATTTAATTATGACAGAATCATTCACATAAAGAGAAGAGAGAACAGTTACCAATATATATATGTTGCCATCATCACCATAACTTCTTATTGCTGCCTGCCTGCCTGCCCCTTAATATGCTCCAATCCCAATGGACACACAGACCACTACTGCGTTTTCTCCTCATTGTACACACACACAAACCTTAAATGCATCGAGTATGGAGATCCTGTACTTGCTCGATATATATACCCTAGAAGAGAGTGAGACCAGCAGCGGTGTTGCTTTTCCCTGCTTTGTTCCTTCTTTCTTTTCTTCTTCTTGGGAAGGAGAAGATTGCTGGATCTCTGATGACACAACCCGAAAATAGGAGACAGTAAGAACCCTTTTCTCCAGGAATTCGACTCCTTTTATTTATACCATGGACACCAATTTGGAACTGCAAAACTCTCCCCCATACTCTCACAGGCTAGCAATTAACTGATATCATCGACCACTTTTTTCCGTAGATGCAGCATATATATCAAGCAGGACCTCTTCTCTAGCAGCCTGGCTTGTGGTTCTACTTAGTAGGGAAATTATAGTTTAATGGATACATAAATTTAACTGCATGCTTCCAAACAATAGGGTAACCCAATTAGTCGGTTGTCGACACAACTCATCCTCCTTCTGAAACCATACATGTTGGTAAGACGGAGTTGAAGATCAATAATGTCTCGATAAACTACTAGCTCAAGTTGCGAATTAGAGAAGTACTACAGAGAAAGAACTATATAGAGAGATTGTTTTTCTTTTTATACAAGTTGTACGTTACATCAGGCTAGCTCGCAAATTCATTTCATGATGGTGGTAATTATAAGTATTATTCAAGAAACACATTCGTGGGTGTATATCCTGATCCGCTTCAACAAAAGAATGTTGTTTAAGATGGACGCACGAGGTAACGCATGCGCAGAAGAGAGACGGAGGTATATACAACGTAACTAGCAAAATGAGAGAGAAAGGAGAAAAAAATCTAACAAATCGATCACATGAACGAACGTAAGAGTACTAAAATCGATCTTTACGTAAGTGTTAGAAATATATAACAATTAACGTAGCAGCTAGCTAGCTAACCCACGCACATACATTACAATGTAGCTAAATGATACGACAAGCAACTCTTACACACCGAAACAGACCAATAAACTAACAAGTAGAAAGCAATCCAGCAGAATAAAATCCCATAACGAAAACATATATAATATATAGGTTGAATTAATGTAGCCATAGAGAAATAAATCCCCCCACCAATTTGTCACACACACACCACCTTTGTAGCTAGCTGATTGATCCATTACCCGGTTAATTGTGGGAGTTGAGACCCGTCAAATCCGTCCAGCTGACCGCATTCCCGCCGCCGCCGCCGCCGCCCCAGTACTGGCTGCCGTCGGGATCCGCAAACGGCGGAGGAGGACGGGATAGGTTAAGGCCGTGGCTCATGGCGAGCTCGGGTTTGACCGGAGCCAGCTCATCATGATCATCATGCTGTGATGGATTCAGATTAACCCTAGAGCTCGAGCCAGCTGTCAACGCCCTAATAAGCTGCTGCCGCTGACCATTAGCATTATTACTGTCCACGTCATCCTCCTGAAACGACGACCCGTATAGATTGCCAGGTGGCCCCGCCGCCGCCGCTGCCTCGAAGAAAGGGAACTGCTGCACCATGGCGGCGGAATCATGCTGCTGGCTGCTGCTGCTGCTTACTCCCATGTGAAACATTGCCATTGCACCGCCGCCTCCTTCTCCGCTGCCGAAGTTCAGCCCTAAGCTGTTATTATTATTGCTGCTAGCGTACTGGGAGAGGCCGTGTAGGTGGGAGGACATGAACGGCGGCGGCGGCGGCAGCTGGTGGTGGTGATGATGTGGCAAGTGCCCCATGATCCCGCCCGCGGAGCTGGTGGACGCTCCGCCGCCTCCGGCGGAAGATGCGGAGGAGTTCTTGTGGGGCTTGGAGGAGGTCTTCTTGTTGCGGCGGCAGCCCCCGCCGACGGGGACGTTGCGTAGGGCGCCGCCACGGGTCCAGTAGCGGCGGCAGGTCTTGCAGAAGTGGCGGGGCTGGGTGAGGCTGTAGTTGTTGAAGTAGCAGAACTTGGTGTTGGTGGACTCACACCGGGGGCACTTCAGGCCCGGTTCGGGCTGGGGTATCTTCGCCATCCGAGCCCTATCCGCCATCGAACCGGGCCTGATGGACCCCAACCCGCCTCCTCCTCCTCCACCGCCGTCTGGCTGCGGTGGAGGAGGAGGAAGCGGGGGAAGCAGATGTTGTTGTTGTTGTTGCTGTTGCTGGTGGTGGTGGTGCTGATGTGTCGAATTCGCTTCATAGGAGGCAGAAGAAGCTGCTGCTTGGGGTGGTACTAGTTGGTTAGGTTGCTGCTGCAACCAAATAAACAATACCACCACAACCACAACAACAAAGAAAAAGAACTCAGATTATGATTTATGGATGCAAGTATATAAGTATATATCTACAAAGATTAAAGGAACAAGGAAGGAATAGGAATCATTCTATCCCCCTTATCTTTATTTTTACAATATGCTTGGTTGCTCTTTTTTTTCTTTTGAAGAAAGATTGGAGGAGGATTAAAGGTGGTGAATGAGTGTGTATGTGTTTTTACCTGCTGGTGGTGATGCCAGTTGGGAGGATCTAAATAGACTGGAATGGAGGAAAAAACCATTGTGGGTTGTGTGTTGTTTTTGTTGATCCCCTTCTTCTCTTGCTCTCTTTAAATTTTTTGGATCTTTTAATTTTTGCTGCTTGCTGCTTTTTTTTTTTGGGGTGTTCCTTTCTTTTTATAAAGTTTGATGGGTCTTTAGGGAAAGGAAAAACATGGTGGGAGGAGAATCACAGAAAGAAAGAAACAATGGTGGCAGAGGAGAGAAGGGAGGAGGTAAAGAGGAACACAAAGCAAAGAAGAGGGAAGAAAAAGAAGAAGAGTACTCTCTGTGTTTGTGTGTTAAAGGGGAAGAGGGAGAGTGGTGGAGGGAAGGAGGGAGGGGAAGCTTTTGCTAAAGAAGAATATGAATCAATTTCCTAATTACATTCCTTCTTCTCCTTTCTTATTTTCTTCTCTTTTGGTTCTTTGTATTAGTATATGCTCTAGCTATTCATTCTTTCTTTTTGTTTTATTATAATTTTTCTTCTTGAGCCCTCCTTTTATCTTTTCCTTCTTTTAGGGTTTCTTTGATGAGATATATAGTGATTGGACCAAGTTTCTTCGCCTGTAAGCTTTCTTCTTTCCATTTCCACTTCATTACCTATTTCTATTGTTGTGAAATGAAAGAGGATGGTAGATGTTTGTGGGACTTAGGGATGGTAATTTTTTTTCAAATTTTGGGTATTGTTCAAATCCAATTTATTAGGGTCAAATTAATTTTGTATAATATGATTTTTGGACATACTCAAGCCTAATATTTTATTTTAGGTTAAAATTAGACCCGTATCGGATCGCACTGACACTTGGACCGGACCATACCGGATCGAATATAACATGATTGATCCTTTGGTGTTATTTTTCTTCCATGACATGAGTTACTATTTCTCTTTATATTTATTTTTTATGACTATCCATTATTCGAATTTTTCTTATAATAGGGTGACCACATTTAGTGTGTGTTTGAATAGAATCAACAGTATTGTCAAATAATAAGAGTCACGACTTCATGAATAGTTGGAAGATTCTATTTATGACCATCTAATTTTCAATTGGTCAATTGTTTCAACTTCATAAGTTGTACATGGTATTTCATCGATTTTGTTGTTGACATATTTAAATGGTTGGGTTAGCTATTGGGAGTCTCTAATATCACTAGTGACAATAGTTTCACAATGATGACTAAAATTATCATATGAAATAATAGAATATAGACTAACTTCAACTTCTTTTCCATTTTGACGAATGTACAACAAACAAAATGAAATAATTGTAGAACACAAAAAACAAACGCACGAGACGATATTTACGTGGTTCTTCTCATTCGGTGTGAATGAGCTTACTCCACGGAGAAATTGTGCTATCTCATCTTATTCATTCTTAGTGTTTGGCCGATACACTTACATCATAAATATATAACCCTAATCAACTAGTTTCCTAGGGTTACATAAAACCTGCGGCTAAAAAGGGGAAAAGACAATGAAACCCCTAAAGCCAACACACGGCTGCGTACTAAGAATAGGATAGGTATAACTATCCTTTCACTCCCCCACAAGCTGAGGCATGCAGGTTACAAATGCCCAGCTTGGACAAGAGAGAATGAAAACGATCCCCGGCGAGACCTTTAGTGAACAAATCTGCAAGCTGAACCGCAGTGTGGACTTTCTGAGGACGAATCTCACCGGAGATGGCATGATCGCGGACAAAGTAGCAGTCGAGTTCAACATGCTTCGTGCGCTCGTGGAACACGGGGTTGGCAGCAATGTGAAGAGCTGCCTGATTGTCACAGTTAAGAACTGTGGGACTAGTGCTAGCGACACCCATATCCCTGAGAAGAGCGCGGAGCCAGATAACCTCACTAACAGTGCTGGCCATGGCGCGGTACTCAGCTTCAGCAGATGATCGCGCCACAACCGTTTGCTTCTTGGTCCGCCAAGAAACCGGAGCACCACCGAGGGTGATGAAGTAACCAGAAGTCGACCGACGAGTGGTTTGACAGCCGCCCCAGTCGGCATCACAATGAGCTGTCAAGTGAAGAGGACCAGTTGAAGGGAGAAGAATGCCCTGACCCGGTGCATTCTTGAGGTAACGGAGAACACGCTCAGCACCAGCTACATGCGCATACGTAGGCGCGTGGACGTAACGGCTGAGGATATTGACTGCATAAACAATGTCTGGTCGCATGACTGTGAGGTACTGTAACCGACCAATAAGACGACGATAAGCAGCAGCATCATCCGGAGGAACCAGCATAGCCTGTTCATCATGTCGAGTGAGTTGGTGATGCTTCTCAATAGGAAAAACACTCGGACGACCACCAGAAAAACCACTGTCACGGAGAAGATCCAAAGTGTACTTACGTTGACACAGTGCAATACCTGCACGAGAGCGAGCAACTTCGATTCCCAAGAAGTACTTAAGTGGCCCCAGATTTTTTATGCCAAACTGACTATGAAGAGCATCCTTGACCAGCTGAATGAAGGCCATATCATCACCTGCCAGGATGACGTCATCCACATAAATGAGCGCAACAACGTATGTACCACGGCTGCGTCGTACAAACAGAGAGTAGTCGGCACTAGAACGTGTAAATCCCAGACCAGTGAGCGTAGCAGCAATTACGAGAACAGAGAGCATACCAATTACGAGAGGCTTGCTTGAGTCCGTAGATGGACTTGTGAAGCCGACAAACACGAGAATCATCAGGAGTTGCAAAACCCTGTGGAATTTGCATATACACTTCCTCATGAAGATCCCCATGCAAGAATGCGTTATCAACGTCAAGTTGATGAACTGCACAGCCACGAACCGCGGCTACCGCCAACAAACAACGAACACTGACCAACTTTGCCACCGGGGCAAAAGTATCATGATAATCAATTCCCTCTGTTTGAGTAAATCCCTTGGCGACAAGGCGTGCTTTGTACCTCTCAACAGAACCATCGGAATTGAACTTAATTTTATAGACCCATTTCGAAGCAACTACACGTTTGCCAGGAGGCAAACTGACCAAAGTCCAAGTGCCATTACCAACCAACACGTCAATTTCCTTTTGCATTGCAATCCGCCACTCTTCATACTGAACTGCCTCGCGAAAACTCGTGGGCTCAACCTGACTGGAGACCGCGGCCAAGAAGCTTTGATGCTTGGGAGAGAAGGTGTCATAACTGACATAATGTGACATAGGATACTGCACATTAGATGGAGGCAACTGAACATCATATCCATCTAACCGCCGAGAAACCTGGCGGATGCGATCACTGCGACGGGGAGCAACGGCCGGCGGATCAAGAGGCGTGGGTTCGGGCGTGGTCGTGAGGCCAGGGCGTTGTTCGGCTACTGGGAATGGGCGACCTTGCTGCTGCTCACTTGCATGGTCATGCAAAACGGACGACGAGGGGTTTGCATTACCATTTTCAGGTGATGCCACGTGCAAAGAATCTTCACCATCCTCTACAGTAGGCACCAGCAAAGGAGCAGGTTGTGGCAAAGGTGGGGACGTGGATTCACTAAATGGGAATTCATTCTCCACAAAGCGAACGTCCCGAGAGACATAAAAGGACCGAGATGTGAGATCAAATAGGCGGTAACCCTTCTGGAAAGCTGGGTACCCCATAAATACTGAACGTTTGTCGCGTTCATCGAACTTAGATATTCCTTTGTGAGTGTCTTTGCCATATGCTAAACACCCCATGACACGAAGATGATCATAAGAAGGCGCCTTTCCAAGCAGAACTTCGTACGGAGAACGATCCTGCAGAACTTTGCAGGGCAGGCGATTAATTAAATAAGTCGCCGTCAAGACACAATCACCCCAGAACTTCAGAGGCAAACTTGCTCGAAATCGAAGGGCTCGAGCTGTTTCAAGTAAATGTCGATGTTTCCTCTCGACCACCCCATTCTGCTGAGGAGTATCGGTGCAAGAGGTCTGCAGAACAATGCCTTTATCCTCATAAAAAGTACGCAGACTGCCTGTCTGAAACTCTAACCCATTGTCAGCCTGGATGCGTGCCACTTGCTGACCAAACTGAGTCATGACCATATTAATGAACATCTTTAAAAACCCCTCAACATCCGATTTGTAAGACATGAGGTAAACCCATGTGGCTCTACTAAAATCATCAACAATCGTGAGAAAATAGCGAGTTGAATTCTGAGTGGGGACCTTGAAACTGCCCCAAATATCCACATGAAGAAGCTCAAAACAACGACTGGTTTTTATCGAATGTCTAGGAAAAGGTAACCGTGTCTGTTTAGCACTACTGCACTTATTTTGACTTGAACGAAATAACAAAGGTGTCTTTTTCAGTGACGGATGACCCAACCGAGCATGCCAAAGCTCCCCCATTCCGGTGTCACCGCTGGCCGCCAAAGCTATACTTTGTATATAATTATCTGGACCCAAATAGAAAATTATATTGATACCAATTCAGATCCAACCCAAATCCAAAATTATTAAACGTGCACATATGTCCATTTTGATATAATCCAGTACTCATTTCAACTCAAAATTCATATGATAATGACAATTTGGTTAAACTATCTAATGAGTCTACCCATTATCACTTTTGGGTGAGAGGCTGGATATCATGAATATTTCGAGAAGGGTGAAATAACAATTTCAAAGTTTCTTGTGTGACTAAGAAATAGGTAGATAAATCAACAATATATGCAGCTTAATAATTTGAATGGTTGAAAAAGAATTTTTGTTATCTTTTTATATGTGTCTGAAATATACACCGAATTGTCAAATTTCAAGTTGATATAAGTATTGTGGACCTTATTAGTGATGACAATGGGGCGGGGCGACCGGGTAACTCAATACTCATGCACCGTCCCATGCTACTCGGTTCGGAGCGGGTAAAATCCGCGCGGATATGAGGCGGGGCGGGTCGATCCACTCTTACATGTCATTTGGAAAAAACACATGCAAATTTTACTTTTTACAATACAATGAAGGAGGGAATACTTTAGGAATGAAAAATAGTGATAATAGAATGAGTAATTGAGTCTAACAAATTGAAAGATCGACTCTAACTAGTTGAAAAAAAAAATCAAAATACAAGAAATATGTATAGATACTGTAAGAAATTAAGATAGAA